GAGTCTAAAATGGAATTTAAGATGGAGTCTAGATGGAGTCTAAAATGGAGTTCAAGACTCCAAAACCAAGACTAAGATTGAAACCAAGTTTGAATCCAAATACTAATACAAGGTTGTGGGGTGAGGAGTTCAATGCTAAAATAAACATGGATAGATACTTATTTAGATACTGTAAACTCTTGAGTTTGGACTTCTCGAGAGGTCACCCAGCCCAATATTATTCAAACCCAAAGACACTTAACCCCAAATATCCCAAGACCCTTAACCAATTGAAAAAAGGGGGTGCACATTTATTCATAGGCCTTTTTCTTTACAAGTTCACGCCCTCATAAACAGAAGATAAGAGTTGTAGTTCTCTTGAGAGCCCCACTCTCTTGACACCCTACCCCTAAAGTCGAGCCCAACAGGAGTAAATTGGACCAGCCAGATGTCAATCAACATGTGGTGTGATTCCTTTAGCCAACCAATAGAGTCGGACTCAAGACCCCTCTAATATCAAATGTAAGCTCCTGAGTTTGGACTTTTCAGGAGCTCATCCAGCCCAATACTATTCAAACCCATGGACGCTTAACCCCAAGTATCCTAAAACCCTTAACCAATTGGAAAAAAGTGCACTCTTATTCATAAACCCTTTCCCTCTATATTTGAATCCCATAGATCATCACTCGAATCGTTCTTTTTGGTTATTTATAAATATCTAGTGTGGCATATTAAAAATTCACTTTTGCTATATGGCTAGAGTACCTAGAAGCAGAAGGTGAGGGGATCACTTACAATGCTCACGTAAGGCTACAATATTTCAAAATGTTATTTTAAAGTCTTGGTTGAGGAGTAATTCTCTTGTATAGTAACCATACATAGTGAAAAGATCCCAAAGATTTAGTGGTCAGGCCTTTGAGCCCTAACCCAATGATAGTATTAGTGAGTATAGCTATGGATGGAAAAGGACTTAGTGGAGACCGAAGAAAGGATATTAAAAAAGGGTGTTCCTCATATCTCTAGGCATTCTAAAAATGTTAAAGTGTGGTTATAAAATGACCATTTATGGATAGATAACTTAGTCTTTGGGAGATAAAACTGTGGTATAGGTCAAAAGTGAATGAACATAGCTTTAGTATAACAAGTTGATATATCAATGCTACCTTTGGGTGTCTATTGTGGGATTGGACACATGGAGCACTTGGACCAAGTGCAAAGGCTGAATGGCATAAATGCTATTCATGGGGCTAACAAGTCTCCAAGTTGAGAATAAAACTTATGGAAGTTGTGAATAAAACTCCTTTAAATGGTTAAATGTGTAGTTAAGTGATTAAAATAGAATAGAAAAGTTAATCACTTACAAAAAGGTGATACTCTTACTTGATATAGTTATGTTGTATCTTAGATTAAGTATTAGTATTGTAAATTTTATTATTTGGTCAACTGGCTTAAGCATTCTTTTATCTTATGTATTTGGGAGTATGCTTCTCATCTTGCTTATTATGTTTATACTTCTAAGTTATTAAATTTCTATCGATAACATCCCCTTAAATTTGGTCTTATACCACTTTAGTTATCAATCAATGTTTTGACATTAGAAGGTTATGTATTATTTATTGAAGAATACTATTTTCTATAATAGAAATTGAACCCTAAACTTTTGCTCATGGGATTTGAACTTAATACTTATTATGCATGTAGATTCCTAGATTAGTTTGAGTTTACAGAGTGTATAAAAGTAGGGTTTTGAGGATTTTAGAGTATGTCATCCTTTTGACAATTAAGCACTATATTTTAAAATTACTAATAATTCATATTAAATAAATTTAAATTCTAAATTCACCAAATGATATAAGTAGTATAAATTATATAAAAAAGTAAAATTTTTTAATTCACTGATAAATATCAAAACAAATTTAACTCACTATTCTATTTAATATACAAAAAAGATCCATTAAAAACTTATAATAGCTTCAGTATCAAAAGGTCCAAAAAATTATAACAATCCAAAAGTTAATTTTCCATCTTTTAAATGAGAGGAATTCCATTGCTATTATCTATGAAATTGAAAACTTTCATCTCCCAAATGGGGAAAAATGTCATTGCCATTATTTATAAAATCAAACATTATTTCTTAAATAGAAGGAAATGTCAATCCCATTACCAAAAATTTCCAATCTCCTATATAGGAGGAAATATTATTGCTATTTTCTAATGAGATCTAAACATTCTATCTCTCAAAGGAAATTCCATTGTGGTATAGGTTAAAGGTGAATGGATATAGCCTTAGTGTAATGAGTTGATATATCAGTGCTACCTTTGGGTGTTTATTATGGGATTGAACATGTGAAACACTTGGACCAAGTGCAAAGGCTGAGTGGCATAAATGCTATTCATGGGGTTAATAAGTCTCTAAGTTAGGAATAAAACTTATGGAAGTTATGAATAAGACTCTTTTAAATAGTCAAATGTGTGGTTAAGTGACTAAAATAGAATAGAAAAATTAATCACTTACAAAAAGGTGATATTCTTACTTGAGAGTTATGTTGTATCTTAAATTAAGTATTAGTATTATAGATTTATTATTTAGTCAACTAGCTTAAGCATTCTTTTATCTTATATATTTGGGAGTATGCTTCTCATCTTGCTTATTGTGTTTATACTTCTAAGTTGTTAAATTTCTATCAATAACATCCCCTTAAATTTGGTTTTACACCACTTTAGCTATCAATCAATACTTTGACATTAGAAGGTCATGTATTATTTATTGAAGAATAGGAATTGAACCCTAAACTTTTGCTTATGGGATTTGAACTTAATACTTATTATGCATGTAGATTCCTAGATTAGTTTGAGTTTACAGAACCTATAAAAGTAGGGTTTTGAGGATTTTAGAGTATGTTAGTATTTTATTAATAGTTTTGTCATCCTTTTGATAAAACTACTAATAATTCATATGAAATAAACCTAAATTCTAAATTCACGAAATGATATAAGTACTATAAATTATGTAAAAAGGTAAAATTTGTTAATTCACTGATGAATATCAAAACAAATTTAATTCACCATTCTATTTAATGTACAAAAAAGATCCATTAAAAACTTATAATAGCTTCAGTATCAAAAGGTCCAAAAAATCATAACAATTCAGAAGTTAATAAGATCCAAAATTTTCCATCTTTTAAATGAGAGGAACTCCATTGCTATTATCTATGAAATTGAAAAATTTCATCTCCCAAATGAGGAAAAAAGTCATTGCCATTGTTTATAAAATCCAACATTATTTCAATCCCATTACCAAAAATTTCCAATCTCCTATATAGAAGGAAATACTATTGTTATTTCTAATGAGATCTAAATGTTCTATCTGTCAAAGAAAACTCCATTGCCATTGTCATTGAAATTGAAAGTTTCCATCTCCCAAAAGGGAGGTACATCACTTATGCCATTGTAAAAATCCAATTTATTTACCGAAAACTAAAAAAAAAAGAAAAGGTCTAGATAAGTTAATCAATCTTTTAAATTTAAATTTAAACATATCAAGACATACCAAGAAACAATGAGAATAAAAGAAAATTAATACTTTTATATCAAATGCAAAAAGTATAATCCGGGACAAAATTAATGCAAATCGAAAAATATAAAAGAGAAGAGAGATATCATAATGCCTCTAATACTTGAAACTTCCAAGGAATAAATGCGCCCGGGGAGTTGACCCAAAGTATGTTGACTCAGGCGAGAGTCACGGGAATCGAGCAAGAAAAGCATGGACTTCCCAGTGTCATGGTTGTGCAAGGCATGCCAGGGCCATTGGTTTCAAGGATAAAACAATTTGCTAGATTGATTCTCTCTATTGTATATTCTCCTTCATAAAATTACAAGCTTTCTAGAGTAGACTTTTAGATAGGACAATTTTTCCCACTCAACATTAAAAAGGTAGCTCTGACATGAAGAAGTGATTAAAAATAAAGAGTTACATTGAGATGCTGTTAGCTATTGTCCTTGTTCCAACTCTTGTGTTTCTTGATCACACAATGGATTTCGAGCAAGCGCGTGAAAGCCCCACAGAAGGTTATTCTATCACTTCTTCAAAAAGTTGTTGACATGAAGCTATGTCAAGTTCATATTGACACGATTATAATTCATGTTCTCGCTATATAATGATGGAGGGAAGAATGATGCAAAGTAGAGTTCTACATCCTAGCGTTTTTTTCTACCTTTGGACCCATTGTCACTTTGACAATTCCATGAGCTATGCAAGAACATAAATATTAATCAATAACTCGTAGAATTTTATTCACAAGAAAAGGTCTAGATAAGTTAATCAATCTTTTAAATTTAAATTTAAACATATCAAGACATACCAAGAAACAATGAGAATAAAAGAAAATTAATACTTCTATATCAAATGCAAAAAGTATAATCCGGGACAAAATTAATGCAAATCAAAAAACATAAAAGAGAAGAGAGATATCATAATGCTTCTAATACTTGAAACTTCCAGGGAATAAATGCACCTAGGGAGTTGACCCAAAGTATGTTGACTCAGGCGAGATTCACGGGAATCGAGCAAGCTAGTGTCATGGTTGTGCAAGGCATGCCAAGGCCATTGGTTTCAAGGATAAAACAATTTGCCGGATTGATTCTCTCTATTGTATATTCTCCTTAATAAAATTATAAACTTTCTAGAGTAGACTTTTAGATAGGACAATTTTTCCCACTCAACATTAAAAAGGCAGCTCTGACATGAAGAAGTTTGGAGCAAGCGCATGAAGGCCCCACAAAAGGTTATTCTATCACTTCTTCAAAAAGTTGTTGACATGAAGCTATGTCAAGTTCATATTGACACGATTATAGTTCATGTTCTCGCTATATAATGATGGAGGGAAGAATGATGCAAAGCAGAGTTCTACATCCTAGCATTTTTTTCTACCTTTGAACCCATTGTCACTTTAACAATTCCGTGAGCTATGCAAGAACATAAATATTAATCAATAACTCGTAGAATTCTTCAAAGGTAACAAGCGAAATCAATGACTTCCAACCGTGCCCTAGCCCACGTTTTCTACATTTTAGCTTTATATTACATGTTAATATATGAGTTACGAAGCTGCTAGAGTGCCAAAAGCACACTGCTCAAGTCTCGGTGATACTTGAGCGACAACAGCATCTGCAATAATGTTAATAAATCCAGGGCCGCTGTCAAAGGACAACTTCCTTGTAGCTCCGTCCCGAAATCTCCAGTCAAACCCATGGATCAAGTTTGAGAGCACCAACTGAACATTCCGCAGTCCAAGAGGAAGCCCTGGACAACCTCGCCTTCCGGATCCGAAAGGAAGCAACTCAAAGTCATGGCCATAGACGTTGATGTTGCTACCAACAAATCTCCCAGGCTTGAACTTGTCCGGATCGTTTGGCCAAGCCTGGGAGTCCCTTCCAATGGCGTACGTGTTGATGAGAACGGTTGCCTTTGCTGGAATCTCAAAGCCCGCAACTAGTCGAGGCTCCGGGGACGTGTGCGGGACCATCAGCGACAGCGGGGGATGGAGACGAAATGTCTCCTTGATAACAGCGTTGACAAGCTCCAGCTTCGCCAAGTCCGACTCTTCCACCATTCGATCTCGCCCAACCACGCTTTCAATCTCTTGCTGGAGTTTCTCCATCCACTCGGGATTGTGGAGAAGCTCGGCCATAGCCCATTCCACCACGGTTGACGATGTCTCGGAGCCACCAAGCAGTAAATCCTAGTAGAAAACACCATGCGAGAACAAAGATAGCCCGAACAAATCAAGAGTTTTCACTTACCATTAGCAAGGCTTTGAGATACTGGGCCTGTTCAGGGCCGTCCACTCGCGCCTTCGTCATCTCCACAAAGTCTGGAATTTCTCCGGGTCTTTGCTCGTTCAGAACTTTGTCCAGGAACGCATCCATCCTCTGGTGAGCTCGTCTACAACGGGCTATGCTCCAGTCGAGCCAGCCGACACTGGGGAAGTAATCTGCTATGGAGAACGCCCCGGCTGCATCCATCACCTCGTCAATCACCCCCACAAATTCCCGCGCCTGGGGATCATCGCTGGAAGCCTTAGATCCAAAGTAAGTCTTGTTCATGAGGATGCGAGTCATGACATTGAAGCTCAGTGATCTCAGCTTGCCTCGCAGTGCCACTGGTTGACCCGCCTTGGAAGCCTTGGCGAGCTCGGCAGTAAGATCCCACAGCTCGTCCCGGATGATTTTGGTGAAGGAGGTGACCCTCCTGGCCGTGAAGAGCTCCATGGAGCACATCCTCCTGATGTTCTTGTGGTACTCACCCTCAGAATAAGATAAGCTCTTGAACTTGTACATGAGAATGTCTACGGCCACTCTGGGTGGCCTGCGAGCGAATGCGGCATCGTGGGTCTTAAGGAACTCCCTGGCCATGGCAGGACTGGAAATCACAATGAGTGGCGCGGATCCCAGGCGCAAGTACATGAGGGGTCCAAACTTCTTGGAGAGGTGATAGAGTGAGATCTGGGGGATCCTTCCCAGGAGGTGGAAGTGGCCGATGAGAGGCAAAGCTCTGGGGCCTGGGGGGAGCTTGATGGCGCGCTTGCTCCACATCCATTGCGTGACGAAGAACGCAAGAGTTAGAACGAGGACAATCGCTGGCAACATTGCCAGTTTAACTCTTTGCTTGAGACTCCTTCTCCAGCGAGTGAATGAGTGTTGTGTCAAACCTTGCTGCCTTTTTAATCAGAATTAGACTAATTAATTTAATTAATTAATCGAGCGAGCAGAGACTAGTACTTGGAAGAGTGGTTGCCACTCATTCAACGATTCGAGGGGGAAAATTTCTATTCAATTCAAGGACTGCTCGAAATTTAGGTCCGGGAGGAGCGATTCGCGCGCGCGCATGAGACATCCATCGGTCTCTCACTGTTTGAATTGACTGTTTGTTACTGGGGTCGCCGCCACGCCACACCCAACAAGAGAAGGGATCGATCCATCTCGAGCTAGGGATGGTCTGCTGCTAGAATCGGAGGATTTCCAGAGAGAATGGCGACCAGTCGAGCCGTGGTGTCGGGTAATCTAGCGCTCGCGCGGCGGCCCAGCTGCTCGTCCAGCGCCTGTGGCGAGAGGGTTGTGAGCGTGAGGGTTGGGCGAGGGCGAGGGATTCGATGCGAGGCGGCGGAGAACAAGAGCGCCAATGTGGCTGTGGAGCCAGAGGGCAGCTTCGATTCCAAGATCTTTCGCAAGAATTTGATGCGGAGCGACAATTACAACCGGAGTGGATTTGGCTACAAGAAGGAGACGCTCGAGAGGCTGGATCAAGAATACAACACAAGTAAGCTTTGCTCGCCTTAGAAACTTTCCTCGCGAAGAAGATCTATTCCTTGTTTTTCCACCTTGCATGAGTTCTTGCGGTCATACTCCTTTGATTTTCTTGCCTGGTTTTTCTACTTACTTCGCGAGCTTTGCTCCAACGATTTGCTGGATTGATGCTTGCTTTGGTATTCCAAACTTCGTGATCTTTGCAAGCCATCTTTCATTTGATGCTTGATTAAAGGTGTTGTTTCTTTCTTTCTTTCAATTGCTTTCATCCTTGCTATGGCATTTCCAACTATTGCGGTCCACTGGCTAAAAGTTTTCAATTTCTGGTCAGGTGACATGCTTAAGTCGCTCAAGGAGAACGATTACTCGTACACTTGGGGAGATGTCACGGTGAAACTTGCAAATTCCTATGGATTTTGCTGGGGAGTGGAGCGTGCCGTGCAAATAGCATACGAAGCACGTAAACAGTTCCCCGATCAGCATATCTGGATCACCAACGAAATCATTCACAATCCAACCGTGAACCAGGTATGAACTTAGAACTCCATTGTCATGCTATATAATCTTTTTCCGTTTTAGAAACTGGAGGAGATGGAAATTAAGATGATCCCTGTGGAGGACAAAGTCAAAGATTTTAGCGTGGTGAAAGAGAAAGACGTCGTTGTGTTCCCAGCATTTGGTGCTACTGTCCAAGAGATGCAGCTCCTCGCTGAAAAAAAAGTTCAAATCGTCGACACTACATGCCCGTGGGTAGCAAAGGTATTGCATTCTCTTTTCCCTTCCTTGTGGAGCTATGAATAAATCGAGTGTTTGTGGAAAGGTTTGGAACTCGGTGGAAAAGCACAAGAAATCGTCCTATACTTCCGTGATCCATGGAAAGTATGCTCACGAGGAGACTGTTGCGACTGCTTCATTTGCTGGGAAATATATTATCGTCAAGAACATGAAAGAGGTTTGTATAGCTTCCTTAGATTTGTTGCATCAATCGCCAAATGATCTTAATTTTCTCTCTACAGGCTACATACGTGTGCGACTACATTCTCGGTGGAAAGCTCGATGGCTCCAGTGGAACTAAGGAAGAGCTGTTGGAGGTAAATCTCTGAAAGGAAAGTCTACTCACTCACAAGCCAAGGTTTTCTTTTGTTTGTTTGTAGAAATTTAAATACGCAACCTCCAAAGGCTTTGATCCGGACGAAGATCTCGTCAGGGTCGGGATTGCGAATCAGACGACGATGCTTAAAGGGGAAACAGAAGATATTGGTAAGCATGTCGCCATTGTGTCTCGCGTGATCAAAACCACCACCTTCTTGCAGGGAAGCTACTCCAGAGGACGATGATGCAAAAGTATGGAGTGGAGAACACAAACGATCACTTCATGAGCTTCAACACAATTTGTGACGCTACTCAGGTATAAAGTTTTAAGACGTCCTGCAATTCGGAATGATATCGTAAATCACTGCGTAGGAGCGGCAAGATGCGATGTTCACGCTGGTGAAAGAGAAGCTCGACCTCCTTATCGTCGTCGGTGGCTGGAACTCAAGCAACACGTCGCACCTCCAAGAGATTGGAGAGATCAACAACATCCCCTCTTACTGGATCGACACTGAAGAACGGATTGGTCCGGGAAACAAAATCGCTTACAGGCTCAACGTAAGAATGTCTAGCTTTCCTCGCAGCTCCTCATGAACTTTAAAACTTTGGATTGCAGCATGGAGAGCTTGTCGAGAAGGAGAACTGGCTCCCAACTGGACCCGTGACAATCGGTATCACATCAGGTGCTTCCACACCCGACAAGGTATGAGTGAGAATCTCTAAACCCTGATCGCTTGAATTTCCAATTTCCAGGTCGTGGAGGACGTTCTAAAGCAGGTATTCCAGCTGAAAAAGCAAGAAGCGCTGCTGTGATTTTCCATGGTCTTGTAACTCCAAAGCCTGCAAACGTATGGGCATTTCTCAGAATTCGATTGTATTATTTTCATAATGAGAGAATTTCCAAGTATAAATTCATCCGAGTTTTAGCTATCTTGCAACAGTTTCATGCTGCTTGGCGATAGCTGATCGCAGATAGAAAGACCGCATCGAGCGCTAGATTGCCATTCTCTCTGGAAAATCCTCCGATTCTAGCAGCAGACCATCCCTAGCTCGATCCCTTCCCTTATACATCAGGTTGCCTTGCTCTCGCACCAAAACAGCACACTTCTCCTATTTGAGTTCTCTCTCTCTCGTTCATTGAACATGAGCTCTGGAGTCTATTGTCACTGTCCATCGTTTTCCAGGAGCGATCTTCCAGATCGATTCCCGATGGAAAACTTTCGATACCAGCAGCACAGAGGTCACGTTTAAATTCTTGCTGCTATAGTAGAGATTGACTCCCATCTAGATGAACTGAGAACTTGACCACATGCTACTCAGGATTGGCCAGAACGCATAAATTTATCATTTTTGGTTGCCACTCTTTCAACGATTCGAGGGGGAAAATCTCTATATGCTGCTGGAAATTTAGGTCCGGGAGGAGTGGTTGAGACGCACTCACTCTTCCAAGTACTAAAGATCAGTTCTATTACTTTCACATTAAAAAAGGCAGTAAGGTTAGACGCGACACTCTCAAGAAAAGATTAGCAAGATTGAGAATGTTGTTCGCGATTGTCCTCGTTCTAGCTCTTGTGTTCTTTGTCACGCAATGGATGTGGAGCAAGCGCGCCAATCTTCCCCCAGGTCCAAGAGCTTTGCCTCTCATCGGCCACTTCCACCTCCTGGGAAGGATCCCCCAGATCTCACTCTATCACCTCTCCAAGAAGTTCGGACCCCTCATGTACTTGCGCCTGGGATCTCTGCCACTCTTTGTAGTTTCCAGTCCTGCCATGGCCAGGGAGTTCCTCAAGACCCACGATGCAGCATTCGCGCACAGGCCACCCAAGGTGGCCGTGTATAGCTACAAGAGCGTATCTTACTCGGAGGGTGAGTACCACAAGAACCTTCGGCGGATGTGCTCCATGGAGCTCTTCACGGCCAGGAGGGTCACCTCCTTCACGAAAATCATCCGGGACGAGCTGTGGGACCTCACTGCCGAGCTCGCCAATGCTTCCAAGGCGGATCAACCAGTGGCACTGCGAGGCAAGCTGAGAGCACTGAGCTTCAATGTCATGACTCGGATCCTCATGAACAAGACTTTCTTCGGATCCAAGGCTTCCGGCGGTGGTGACCAAGAGGCGCGGAATTTTTTGGAGACGATTGACGAGGTGCTAGCGGCATTCGGGGCGTTCGCCATAGAAGATTATTTCCCCAGTATCGGCTGGCTCGACCTGAGCATAGCCCGCCGGTGTAGACGAGCTTACGGGAAGATGGATGTGTTCCTGGAGAATGTTTTGGATGAGCAAAGGCCTGGAGAAATTCCAGACTTTGTGGAGATGACGAAGGCGCGAGTCAACGGCCCCGACCAGACCCAGAGTCTTAAAGCGTTGCTCATGGTAAGTGAAAACTCTTCATTTGATCGTGCTAAGTCTCTCTTTGCTCGCCTAGGATTTACTTGTTGCTGGCTCCGAGACATCGTCAACCACGACTGAATGGGCTATGGCCGAGCTTCTCCACAATCCCGAGTGGATGGAGAAACTCCAGCAAGAGATTGAAAGCGTGGTTGGGCGAGATCGAATGGTGGAAGAGTCGGACTTGGCGAAGCTGGAGCTTGTCAACGCTGTTATCAAGGAGACATTTCGTCTCCATCCCCCGCTGGGGCTGCTGGTTCCACACACATCCCCGGAGCCTCGACTAGTTGCGGGCTTTGAGATTCCAGCAAAGGCGACAGTGCTCATCAACGCATACGCGATTGGAAGGGACTCCCAGGCTTGGCCAAACGATCCGGACAAGTTCAAGCCTGGGAGATTTGTTGGTAGCAATATCAACGTCTATGGCCATGACTTTGAGTTGCTTCCCTTTGGATCAGGAAAGCGAGGTTGTCCAGGGCTTCCTCTTGGGCTGCGGAACGTCCAGTTGGTGCTCTCAAACTTGATCCATGGGTTTGACTGGAGATTTTCAGAAGATGCAAGGAACCTGTCCCTTGACAGTGGCCCTGGATTGGTTGATACTGTTGCAGATGCTGTTGTGGCCCATGTTTCCCCAAGACTTCAGCAGTGTGCTTTTGACACTCTTGCAGCGTAATAACTTATAAAGTATGTCCTAATTAAAATAAATTGCTATGTGTTGCATGCAGCAAGTGTTATTCTTACTTATTAATTTAATAAAGTTTATAATTATAAGCATGTTTGTAATTTATAAACACAAGATTAATTTTATTGCATTAGATGATAGAATAAAAAAGAATATACTAGAAATTAAGAAAGTTTATAAATTATAAACATTGTATAAATTATAAATACAAGATTAATCTAAATGAATAACAACCGTAAAATGGTAAAATATCCTAGAATATTCAAGCATATTCTAGGTATATCCACTACCATCCTATAAGCAAACAAAAAATCCATGGTTTAGGGTTTATCATGTTAGTTCTTACGAAATTAAAAGATATAGTTTTGCTTGTCTGAACTTTAACTTCTTATATATGTTATAAATTAGAGTGAGTTATTAATATCAGAGTGTTTTAAACTGTTAAAAGCTCATTAGCAAGAAAAGGGAAGACAATGAAACTACTAAAGTACTAAAGAATAGAGAATAAAGGGTAAATTTATATTAAACATTTTGAGTACAAAGTCCTTAAATTTTAACTTTTCTCTACTTTATGATATGGTGTCAATAAACTAACATGAAACACATCATATAGATAAGATAATTCATCCAAAAGATCCAACTTACAAGATATATCACCATCTTTTTAACACTGAATAAGGCTCAATATATTTTGGTAATAACTTCTAAGACAAATACCCCTTAACATTCATAACCACACCTAATCTCCTATTTAATATGTTATATTTGGTAATGTTAATCCTTCTCATATTGATATCTATCTTGAGTTTTGCTTATCACCTCAGTTACCTTAGACTAACCTTGGTGCAATTGTTTTGCATAAGTTTCAATGGATAAAACCAACACTTCAGACATTAATTTTGAAATAATGATCTATTAAAGAACCCCATGAGTATTTCATTATAACATCTCTTATAAAGAATAATTAATAATGTTGTAAAATGTGTTGTTATAATAGATTTCTATTGTGTCCAAATGCTCAACTTAATTGCATTGGTCCATTACAACATAGTACTGCAAATAATCTTCTAAGCATTTATATGTTTGGTCTGCCCATATGTTTGAGGATGATAAATTGTAAACATAATACCAAATAATTAGAATATGTGCCTAAAATTTTCTTATAAACCTCAAATCCCTATTTGAGATTATCCCATAATACTTCATGGAAAAAGAGTTTTGCCACTTGTTTAACATTCATTGTAAAAGCTAAAGATGCCCATATAATAGGTTTTGAATTTAAATAAAAGGTTGGGTTTGATTATTATCATAATCAATAATAATAAATATACTCCTCAATAAACACATTTACATTTTATCAATTATCATTAAGTCAATTTCTTTCATATAAGATGATATATGAAAATGAAAGATTTTCCATGGGCTAAAGTATAAGTGTACAAACACAATCATCTTTAGAGAGTTAAAAGTCTTAAAAGCCTATTTCTCTTGCATAGGCAATGACTTCTAGCTTCAAAGATTCTCACAACTTTCATTAATGCCTAAGACTTTTAGCTACAGGAGGACAATTTATTCTCCCCACAACTTTGAATCACTCTTCTAAATTATTCTAAGGCTCTCTTCACTTTAAAAAGGTGACACCAACATTTAAGAAAAAAGAGTTAGACTGAGAATGTTGTTAGTGATTGTCGCTCTAATTGCTCTGCTTTTTATCACACAATGGATGTGGAGCAAGCGCGTCAAGCTTCCCCCAGGCCCCAGAGCTTTACCTCTCATCACTCTATCACCTCTCCAAGAAGTTTGGAGCCCTCACGTACTTGTGCCTGGGATCCGTGCCACTCTTTGTAGTTTCCAGTTCATCCATGGCCAAGGAGTTCCTCAAAACCCACGATGCGGCATTCGCACACAGGCCACCCAGAGTGTCCGTCGAGATCGCCATGTATAACTACAAGAGCTTATCCTACGGCGAGGGTGACTACCACAAGAACATTAGGAGGATGCGTTCCATGGAGCTCTTCACGGCCAAGAGGGTCACCTCCTTCACCAAAATCATCCGGGACGAGCTGTGAGATCTTACTGCCGAGCTCTCCAAGGCTTCCAAGGGGGATCAACTGGTGCCATTGCGAGGCAAGCTGAGATCATAGCTGCCGGAAAACGTATGAAACTAAAAAAACGTAACGTTTTAAACGCGTTAAAAAACGCCGTTCTAAACTCCCAACGCGTTTGCACTATTTGCGAAAAGAGACAAAGGTTTCTTTAAGGTTTCTTTAGGGGGTTCATGTAGTCATGGCAGGAATTGGAGGACGCCACGAATGCTAGAGCTGGAAGCATGTGATATGAGCAGAGTGGCACTGGACATGTAAGTATTGTCATGAGATTCACACTGGGGGAGCAGAGTGAGTGTGAGCACATCTGGCTGGAGTTTGGGCAAAAGGTGTGAAAACGTGCAAGGCAATGAGGGAGATCCCTTATGAAGTTCGTGATTTCGAGCTAGCATCTTCTTTCATTTGTTTTAGTATGTTATTCGGTTGGGTTTTATAAACTAAATATCAGATTAAAGTGTCTTTAGTAAATATTAGTGTTTTCTTAATCATTTTAGGCTTTAACATGTAAACGTTTGATTGTCCTGAAAAAAACGTTTTAAATGGCGTTTAAACGTGGACACGTTTAAACGTTTGCACGTCAAGCTGCAACTATGGCTGAGATCACTGAGCTTCAATGCCATGACTCGCATCCTTATGAACAAGACTTACTTTCCAGCGATGATCCAGAGGCGCGGGAGTTTGTGGAGGTCATTGACGAATTGCTAGAGGCAGCCGGAAGTTTTTCCTTGGCCGATTACTTCCCCAGTATCAGCTGGCTCGACTGGAGCATAGCCCGCTGCAGACAAGCTCACTGCAAGATGGATGCATTCCTGGACAAAGTTTTGAGCTAGCAAAGACCCGGAGAAGTTCCTGACTTTGTGGAGATGACGAAGGCACGAGTGAACGGCCCCGAGTACCTCAAAGCCTTGTTCATAGTAAGCTCAAAACTCTTGATTTGAGCGAGCTAACTCTTTGTGGTTCTTTACTAGGACTTACTTCTTGGTGGCTCGGAGAAATCGTCAACCGTGATTGAATGGGCTATGGCCGAGCTTCTCCACAATCCCGAGTGGATGGAGAAACTCCAGCAAGAGATTGAAAGCGTGGTTGGGCGAGATCGAATGGTGGAGGAGTCTGACTTGGCAAAGCTGGAGCTTGTCAACGCTGTTATCAAGGAGACATTTCGTCTGCATCCCCCGCTGCCCCTTATGATCCCACACACGTCCCTGGAGTCTCGAATAGTCGCCGTCTTTGAGATTCCAGCAAAGGCGACAGTGCTCATCAACGCATACGCGATTGGAAGGGACTCCGAGGCTTGGCCAAATGATCCGGACAAGTTCAAGCCTGGGAGATTTGTTGGTAGCAATATCAACGTCTATGGCCATGACTTTGAGCTGCTTCCCTTTGGATCAGGAAAGCGAGGTTGTCCAGGGCTTCCTCTTGGGCTGCGGAACGTCCAGTTGGTGCTCTCAAACTTGATCCATGGGTTTGACTGGAGATTTCCAGATGGAAGGTTGTCCCTTGACAGTGGCCCTGGCTTCATCAATGTTATTACGGATGTTGTTGTGGCCCAAGTATTACTAAGGCTTGAGCAGTGTGTCTTTGACGATCTTAAAACTTAAGTTTTGTGGCAAGATCAAGAAATATCCTCTATACAGCTGTACGTTTATACGATGGGCAAGATCGTTTGCGTCACGGGAGCCAATGGCTTCATCGCCTCCTGGATCGTGTGCAAGCTCCTCCAAAGGGGCTACACAGTTCGTGGCACGGTGAGAAACCCAGGTAAAAGATCTAGCAAGTTATAAGAAGATCCTGACTGATCGACCGGCAATCGAGCAGAAAAATGCGGCCATCTCTTGGGGCTGGATGGGGCAAAGGAGCGCCTCACACTTTTCAAGGCCGATCTCCTGAGCTATGAATCACTGCTGCCGGCGTTTCGCGGCTGCTATGGAGTCTTCCACACAGCTTGTCCTGTGGCCTTCCAATTCGACAATCCAGATGTATGGTATTCTCATCTCTTTCTCCTCCTAAATCTCGCTCACGAGTTTCTTTTCGTTGCTAGGATGTTTTGGGTCCTGCGATTCAAGGCACCGAAAACGTGATGGCTGCTTGCTCCAACGAGAAAGTCCAGAGGGTGGTGATGACTTCTTCTGGAGCAGCCATTGTTGCCGATCCAAACAGGCCCAAAGATAAGGTGGTGGACGAGAGCTGCTGGAGCGACTCGGAAGCTTGCAAGGAACGAAAGGTAAGAAACTAAAGCGAGAGTTCTTCGTATTTGATTGATCTTTCTGTGAATTGAAACAGTCGTGGTACTCGCTCGCCAAGACCGAATCCGAGAAGCTGGCATGGAAGTTTGCAAAGGAGAAAGGCCTCGACTTGATTGTCATCTGTCCGGTGATGGTTTTTGGCCCGATCTTACAGCCCACCTCCAACACCACGGTGGAGGCTCTCAAGAATATCATCAAAGGTATAAAGCTCACAGCGGAAGAAAATAAAAAACTCTTTTTTTTCTTATCCAGGATCGAGCATTCCAAATTCATGGGTTCGACTGGTAGACGTGAGAGACGTCGCGGAATCTCACATTGTGGCTTTGGAAAACGAGGCGGCGTCCGGGCGATACTTTTGCTTTGCGCATTGCATTCACTACAAGGACGTCGTCAGCGTCCTGGCCAAGAAATTCCCGCAACACTGCAATCCCGAGCTCCAGTAAGTTGATTTTCTCTCCACAGTCCATGTATATGATCTTCTTCTCTTGGTGAAGGTGCGATGAGAGCCAGCCCGTGGGTGGAATTGCTCCAGAGCTCGCCAAGAATGACAAGCTTTTGAGCTTGATCAAGGAGACAATACCATATGAGCAGACACTGATCGACACAATAAGCTGCCTTGACGACAAAGGTTTCATGTAAATCAAGGTTCTTTTCAATAAAATTCACGAACTTTCAAAGGATTCGTATCAAGCTTTTGTCAAACTTTGAATTTGAAACGCAAGAACAATCTTTCTCTTTTGTCAAAAGCTCTGCCGACAACGCGAAAGCGATGCCCAATCAAACTCGTCTGGCAAGAACGGCATGTCATCGACAAGATCCCATGCCTCTTTTACGTATCCGCCTCGTGAGAGAGTGTCCACAACGCTGGCAAAGTGTTGCTTCGACGCATCAATCCCAAAGTCGGTGCGCATGGATCCAAAACAAGAGCAAACCCACGAAAAAGCCCCGGCGTGGTTGCCAACAAGCAAGATTCCAGCCAAAGTTATGTCGTTTGGCATTTCAGTGAAAACCATCTTCCGAAAGAGATCTTTGGTTTCCAGCCATCGTCCCTTTCGAGCGAACGCGATCATCAAGGAGTTCCAAGACACAAGGTCTTTCGTTGGAAGCCTTTCTAAGAGTTTCGTACCTTTATCAGCATGCCCTTTCTCGGTATATGCAGATAGAAAAGTGTTCCACGACACTAAGTCTCTCTGCGGCATTTGATAGAAAAATTTCTCCATTTCGCAAGAACCAGATCTAGCGTAGCTTGCTAGCATGGCATTCCACGAAACTATGTTTCTTTCCTGCATGAAATCAAACACATTCTTCGTTTGATCAAGGTACCCGTGCCGGGCATACGAAGAGAGCAAACACGTTGATGAGACCACATTCCCTCCTGTCAATGACTCCAACTTTCCTTCACACCTCACTTGAGATAGAAATGCATTCCAGCAAGCACTATCTTTGTCCGGAATCATTGTAAAAATCCTCATTGAATTCTCGAGCTGCTGGTTCCGGGCATACAACACCATCATGCACGTCCATGAAACGACGTCGACCTCGGGCATTTCCGCAAACAAAGCCTCAGCCTCGCGTGTATACCCAACCTGGGCATACGCGCTCAGCAAGGAGTTCCACGAAACCAAGTTCCATTCTGGCATCCTGCTTTCGAAATACTCCTCCGCCTCCCTTATTTGTTCATTTGACACAAATGCTGAAAGCAAAGCGGTTGTGGAAACAACATTGCGTTCTTGCATGCCGTCATAGATTCTCGATGCCTCGTAGATATGCCCTTCACGGGCATATACTGCAAGCATCGCATTCCAGGCGACAAGATCATGCTCGGGCATGCCAAGAAACATTACACGAGATTTATCAACATTTCCGGATTGTGAATGTGCTACTAGCATGATTGTCCAAGATACGAGGTTTTGCTCTGGCATGGAATCAAATAATAACCCGCATTCCTGTAGATGCCAGTTCTGGGCATATGCACTAAGCATCAAAACCCAGGAAAACAAGTTCTTTCGACGGATCGAATCAAACACCTGACGAGCAGAACTTGGGCTCCCACACCTCCCATACATTTCGATCACCAGGTTACACAAGTAAACCTCGTATTTCAGTGAATCGCTCAGACGAGCATGGATCTCACGACCTGCTGGGAGGTCTCTACAGACCCTTATCGCGTCCAAAGTTTCATTCCTCGCCTGCATGCCTCAATATGATCGATCTGCCAGCCACCACCTTTTTCTCTTCCGCGTTCACAGGCCCATGGCTATGAAACTCGTTCGAGAACGCATTGGCTAGCAGGAGATAAGCCGCGGTGTGATCGGATTTGAGCTCGAGGAGCTCTTTCGCCACCCCAGCCCGGATCTCTCTTTGCTTGTGGCTCTTACAAGCGGCGAGCAAACACGTCCAGTCCAAGGTATCGGGAACAAAAGGCATGGTGGCGATCAAATCTCTTGCCTCTTCAATGTAGCCACTTCGTGCGAGGAGATCGATCATACCGCTAAAGTGTTGCTTGCTTACCTCCAGTCCATAGTCCCAATGGATGGAACAAAAGCACGAAATCCCAGCTTTCAGGTCTCCGGCATGGCTGCAAGTCATAAGGATACAAATGCAGGAAACATCGTCCGGATTCCGGCCACTCATGTTCAAGGAGCTGAAAATCTCGTGGTTTCCGCTGCGAACATTGATCGAGAGCAGGGAATTCCATGAGAGCATGTCAGGATCTGGCTCGATCCGATCGAAAACTCTCTTTGCTCCGTGAAGATCACAAGCTCGAGCGTACAGAACCATCAACGCATTGTACGAGGCTGTGTTCCTGAATGGCATGCGGACGTAAAAGAGCAAAGATTCGTGGGTGCTCCCGCTTTGGGCATATGCCGTGAGCATCGCATTGCAGGCCACAACGTCCCATTCCTCCATGGAATCAAAGAGCTGCTTGGATTCCTCAAGATGCCCGTTTTGGGCATATGCTGTTAGCATCGTCGTCCACGATATCAAGTTCTTTGTTTGCATGGATTCAAAAACAACACTGGCTTTGATTACGTCTCCATTGTGCGTGTGTCCGCCCAGTACGGAATTCCAGGATACCGTGTCTAGCTCGGGCATATTCTCTAGAACCTTTGCTATCATAGCATTATGCCCAGAGTGGGCATATCCCGCTAGAATTGTGTTCCAAGAGAAGATATTCTTCTCTTTCATTCCATCAAAAACTCGTTCGGCTAAATCCATCTCTCCGACTTGGCAGTAGCACGAGAGCATGGCATTGGACGATACTAGGTCATATTCCGGGATCTTTTTGAAGAGATGCTCGGACTTTAACAGATAACCGGCTTGGGCATATGCCATTAGCATTGTCGTCCACGACACGATATCCCGCTCGGGCATAGAATCGAACACTGAACCGGCCTCGGCCGTACGGCTGCCTCGCACGTACGCCGCCAGCATGGAGTTCCACGTCACCAAGTTCCTCTCGGGCATAGCCTCAAACATGGTTTGGGCTTCTAGCAAATACCCATTGACCGCAAATGCTGATAGCATGGTGGTCCAAGACACAACATCCTTCTCACGCATCGAATTGAAAATCTGCCTGGCGCCATCGAGATCCTTGTTCCTGGCAAACGCTGCGAGCATCACATTCCAGATCACAAGGCTCCAATTGGGCATCGCCTCGTACATAGATCTTGCCTGGGCGAGGTGCCCATTGCGGGCGTAAGTCGCAAGCATCGCCGCCCAGGTGAATGCGTTCTTGGGCTGGATGCCATCGAAGAGGCGGCGCGCGTCCGCCACAGCGCCCCAATTGCCATAGATTTGGAGCAAGAGATTGGAGGCATAGACGTCGGAATCGAGGAGTTTGCTGCGCGAGTGGAGCTCGCGGAGGTGATCGAGGCTCTTGCATCTCCTAAGCTCGCGGAGGAGAGCGTCCCTAGCGGTGCCGGACAAGGAGGAGGTGTCCGTACACATCTGGGATCTATCAGATTCGTGTTTTATTCCATGGGAGAATTAGGGTTGCCCCTTTCTCGTCCAGGAGAGGCGATCCCATGCGCTAGGGAGCTCATCGATCCACATTGTGAGTGTTGTTGTGCCGTGCCGCGCGCGCTGGTCGGTTGATCGATCGCCTGGCGAGTCAAAGCCCTAGCGCGGCGATGATGGACGGCAGCGGCGGCCATCCCCTGGATCCAGATCGCAGGTACTCGGTGGAGAGCTTGACCATGGATCCTCTCCTAGCTGACAGGGACGAGGAGGAATCCAGCCGGTCCAATTCCAACAGCACCTATAGCTTGGTCGCGTCGCCGGTGGATCCTCTTGCTCATCCGCTGGGCCGCGAGGATTCCCAGGAAGAAGAGCTAGAATTCTCCAAGGAAACCAACGACGACGACGACGACGACGACGACGACAGATTGGAAGATGCTTCTTCGGCTACAATCACGAGCACTGCCGGGGGGGATCGATTGATCCACCAGCTGCAATCCAGCTCCGAGGGAGAATTCTTAAACATCATCGTCACGCAGCCCCAGAAGGAGGCCGATTCCGCGAGCTCGCTCATCCCAGGTGGGAGCTACTTCGTGACTTATCTCGTCAGCGCTAGAACAAACATGCCAGAGTATGGGAAGAGCGAGCACAACGTGAGGAGGAGATTCAAGGACATCGTTGCTCTTGCCGATAGCCTGGTGGAGAAGTACCGTGGCTATTTCATCCCGGCCCGGCCAGACAAGAGCATCGTAGAGAGCCAGATCATGGACAAGCACAACTTCATTGAGCAGCGGCGGCTGGGGATCGAGCGCTACTTGCGCCGGCTGGCCTCTCACTCAGTGTTGAGAAAGAGCGAGGAGCTCAGGACTTTCATAGTTTCCAAGGCCAAGCTCCAGATGGTTCCGACGCTGGATGTGGCGTCGAGGATGCTCGACGGTGCTGCCAAGCTTCCACGGCAGCTCTTTGGCGATGGCCCGGCGGCAGTGAATCCGCAGGAGGTGGTGCACTCTGCGAAAGGTGGCAGGGATTTGCTGAGACTGTTCAAGGAGCTCAGGCAGTCTGTGACGAATGACTGGGGTGCAAGCAGACCTCCCGTGGTTGAGGAGGACAAGGAGTTTGTGGAGAAGAAGGAGCATCTCCGAGAGTGTGAGCGGCGGCTAGCTCATGCTTCACAGCAGGCAAGTTTACACTTTTTCTTTTCCTTGCTTTATCTGATTCTCCGATCTTTCCTTTCTCTCCCGTTATTCGTTTTCTCATTTGATGTTGTGTGTGAAACACAGGCTGATGCATTCACCAAGGCTCAGAAAAATCTTGCCTCCGTGCTGGGGGATGTGGGACTTTCGTTTATGAAACTGGCCAAGTTGGAAACGCAGCAGGCACCCAATAAACCGCATGGAGCAGACGTGCGGCGCCTAGCTACCGCAGTCGTGAGATCGAGCAGAGGCCAAAGAGCATCAAATGCGCAAGCCGAAAGACATCTGGTATGTTTTCGTTTTTTCTTTTTCTCGCTCGAGAACTTGAGGTTTCTTTTTGTTGCATAGGACTATCTTCACGAGCACCTTGCAGTACTGCAGTCGGCTCAATACGCATTTGCGGACCGCGACAATGCGCTGCTAACTGTGCAGACTTTGCTATCGGATATCTCTATGATGCATGCACGCGCTGAAAAGCATAGCGCTGCGGCGTCAAAAGTTTTTGGAGGGGATAAAGGCAGGAACAAGAAGATCGACGATTTGAAAGACTCTATAAGAATGACTGAGGAGGCCTGTGAGTGTGCTCAACAAAAGTACAACCAAATCAAGGTCTCGATTTCTCTGTTGCTTTTACGTTTTCGCTCTTTCTGACCCTCGAAGCCCGTCTCTCAGGATCACAACCGGACAGAGATTGAGCGTTTGGAAGCAACAAAGCAAAGCGAATTTTTTAATATGATTCACGGGTTTGTCCAGTCTCAGGTTGGATGAAGAGGTTTTTCTATTCCAACTGATCATTGCTCTTTTGCATTCCAGGTCGGCTACGCTGAGAGAATTGCAAAAGAATGGACCCGAGTAGCGGAGGAGTCTGCTGAGTACTCCGGCAGGCGTGTAGATTCGCCCATTTTCAAATCCAATCTATCGTTCCATGGGTAATGCAACTCATATCTTTGCACTCTTGGGAGGAAGCTTTGATGTTTTGCCAGGAGATAAAAACCAGGCAAAACAGGCACGTGGCAGCATGCAAGATAGCACAAGTGTCAAGTGCATGGATCTTATTCCTTGAAGAAGGAAGAGCAAAAGAGGGTAGAGGAGGAAAACAATCTAGCGTTGTAGCACAGCAGCGTCGATTGAATGGCTTCGTGCGACAAGGTACCGGCTGGACAGATCCCAAGTTCGCCGGATGATGTTCCTGGAAAGCCCACCACGATGATGTCCAAAATAATGGAGAAGGGTGCCGATATGCTCCAGTCCCTCGAGCCAGTGAAGCAGATTCAAGAGGTAAGCTTTGTCAAAGTTGTGATTTTTCTCAGAGTTCTTTGGATGTTAATTCTCCTGCAGCACATCTGTACCTTTGCGTTCTACTCCCACGATATGAAGCGGCAGATTGAAACCCATCACTATGCTTCTCGTGTCAACGAGGACTTTACACAGTGCCTGGTCTTCGATCGAGACGACTCTCAGGCTCGTCTCATAGGCAAGCGAGAATTTCTTTCTTTCCTTTTCGTCCGTTACTCACGCCTGGTTTGAGTTCAGGAGTGGAGTACATTGTCTCGGATCGCATCTTTGTAACGCTGCCAGACGAGGAAAAGAAGCTTTGGCATTCTCATTCTCACGAGGTAATTTCATTCTCTTTTCCTGGAAAACTAAGCGGGAAGCTGCTCCTCTCTTTAGATCAAGGCCGGGCTTTGGGTTCACCCAGGCGTGCCCGAGGCCGTCCAAAAGCAGGAACTCCACAAGCTGGCCCCAACATACGGGAAGTTTTGGTGCACTTGGCAGTTCGATCGAGGCAAGAACATCTTTCCTGGAAAACTCGAGTTTTTATCCTTGTGATCAGGTGACAGGCTTCCAATGGGACCTCCAGCGCTGATGATGTCGCCGCAGGAGGAATGCCCGGTTGATTCCAAGCTCGTGGAAGCGCGAGACAAGAAATATAACATCTCCACGACTGAGAGAGCCGAGTCGAGACGAGATATAGCCGGACTCTCCCGTGTGGATCCTCTGGCCGATCACTGGAAGGCTGGCGGCAAAGGCATGGTCGTGGAGCTCAAGGAAGTTGATATGGCTCTTCCAGGTCCGTATCCAAGCTCTCAGCTTTCGCTGTGATGGGAGAGACGATGATCAAAACTTGGAACTTCCAGGACTCGCGGAAAGGAAGTAGATCCTGTTTCAAGCTCTCAAACGTTTCGAACTTTCATGTGAGAGATGTGATCAACTTCCCAAGTTCGTGGACAGCAGCCACAAAATAAAATCCAAAGCCTGGTTTTTCAGCACCATCTATCAGATCTAAAAGTTCGGTTTCTTCTAGCTTCCCCCATTTATTTCGTGGAGGTGGTGTTCTTACTTGGCTTTTGGATGCTTGGCAACGAAATCCACCGCTGCTGGAACCGAGACGAGCTTATCAGCAACTTCGTCGGGGATGTAGAGCACGAATTCCTCCTCGAAACCCATCACAATCTCCACCACATCCAAGCTATCCAGGCCCAGGTCGTTCATGAAATGGCTGGATTGAGTGAGCTGCGAGGAGACAAAGCACGCATGAACCCTAAATTCCAGAGAAGCAAATTCTCGATCGATCAATCACTCACTTTGGCTGGATTCACTTTGGGGTGCGCCTTGACGATCATCATCACCCTGTCCAGCGCCTCCTTCTCGCTGATGCCGTCTTGCGCAGGGGCGGACATCCATCGCCGCCACAGCAATCCCCATCCCCGCCCGGCATCGATCTGGGCGTGTATAGAGGACGATGGAGCTGGCGCTGGCGGCGCCAACGCCGCCCTCGATCGAAGCAGCGAGCCACCGCGAGCGGCGATTCTCCTCAGCATTTTCTTCCCCTAGAGCTCTTTATCCCAGTGGAGTCATTCCTATTCTATTCCAATCCAGGCCGCTCATCACGTGGCCTATTCCGAGACCATCTTGGCCGTTGAATCGCTCACCCATAATTTGTGTATAATCTCTGTATATATTTCGATTTCCATGTACTACAGATAGCGTACTTTATCTATCCTCGCAACAAGAGAGCCTCCGCCATGGTGAGTGCCATTCAGCCTTTTGCTGCTGCAATCAAGCACAAGGATTTAGCTCTGCCATCGCCACACAAGGTTGTGCTCTAGACTTCACTCCAAAATCTTATCGTCCAAAATCGCTGGCATGGCCATGGATAATTTTGCAGGATCCTTCTCCGCCCGCGTCGAGTAGCGCCAGGAGAAATGTGGCACTGGGTGTGATTGGGGCTTTTGTTTTGGGGGCTCTCGCGGTGGAGCGCCCGGACAAAGCTGCCGCGGTTGTCACGGGAGGATCCCGCTTCGTCAGGCCCGAAACGCGAGAGAAAATCCGCGAGGAGATCGAAGAGGTCAAGAAGAAAAACAAGTAGAACATCCATCGTCCATTAATATGTAAATCACATCAAGCAAAGCACCAATGGTAAAACATCACAAAATCATCATAGTAAAACTATGTGCTAGAACGCATAGATCGAATCACCGGCTTTAGTGGGAGCCAGGATCTGGTATCTCCAAAGAGAGAGGGAGCCAGGTAACCCCAGATTGCTCCTCCACTCTTGCTACCAAGTCCAGCAAGCTATTGATCAATCATCTGATTAGTATCATCTAGTATAGACTAAGTTTACTTACAGTTTCCCATACGTGATCGTGAGCCCAAACAAGCGAATGGTGACGAGCATTTGAGATTTTCCAAAGTCGTTGTCAGGGGTAATTTGGTGGTGGATTTGCCCAGTCGCGGCAAATGAAGGAGAAGACATAGTCGCCACCGAGCCTGTTACACCACCTTATGGCTCCAGTCTCCGTGTCGAGTGAAACCACGCATCGTCGCAGAGGGTTGCGTTTGATGGGAAGCAATTGGTTCGATTTCGAGGCATGCTTGGACAGAGGCTGGAACCGTGTAGAGATTTTCTCCTCATCCTCTAGCTCTTTTCTAGTCCAATCCAGGCCGCTCATCATATTCCGAGACCATCCTGGCCGTCGAGTCGCTCACTCATACTTCTAGAGATAGGTACTTTATCCTTGCAACAAGCGAGCCTCCGCCATGGTGAGTGTCATCCAGCCATTCGCTACTGCAATCAAGCACAAGGATTTAGCTCCAGGCAAGGTTGTCCTCTAGACTTTACTTGAAAATCTTATCGCCCAAATCACCGGCATTGCCTTTGCGCTGCAATGCAGGATGCACCTCCGAGTAGCGCGAGGAGAAATGTGGCATTGGGTGTGATTGGGGCTTTTGTTTTGGGCGCTCTCGCGGTCGAGTGCCCGGACAACGCTGCCGCGGTTGTCACGGGAGGATCCCGCTTCGTCAGGCCAGAAATTCGAGAGAAACTCCGCGAAGGGATCGAAAAGGTCAAGAAGAAACACAAGAAAAAGTAGAAACATCCGTAAATGTGTATATATATATATATATATATATATATATATATATAAATCCCATCGCAAAAGCTTTAAAATTTGCCAGTGAAACCACGACCCTGGAATGGCAGGAATGAAACACGAGGAGCATCCACTCCACCACTGCCGCCACCTCCAATTCCATCCGATAAGTCCTTGAAAGCTTTGTGCCCGAACCTCTCCACGTCCTCTGCAAGCATCAGCACCACCTCCTTGGTGACATTGTGAATAGAGGCGTTGCACACCATTGACAACCAGCGTCTCGTTGGCGAGGCCGTAAGATCATCGTTGAGCTGCCGGAAGCGAACGGTGGGCGAGAGTGCGACCCAGAGATCAAGCTTGAGTTTCTTGTCCAGCTCCGTCATGGTGTCGTTGACGAATCGTGCTTTCCCCTGGCATTGCACGGCCTTGTCAATCTGCTGCTTGAGTGTGTACTTGGAGATGTCGCTCCACATGTAGACCGCCGAGAGACCATTCCTGGAGCCTGCAAAACTGGTGTCTGGAGTCCCACTATAGTTCGGATTGCTCGGTGGGTTCAGTTGGTATCTGGCGTCCAAGGAAGAGTCATAACTTTCGCCAATGCAATGGAAGAACAGATCACCTTGTCTTGGACATGAAAATGCCGCATGGAACCAGTGCACCTATCCACTTGTGCCCGCTCATTGCGATGGAATGCACAGCGTCCAGGCTGAGATCAAACTCGGGGGCGACTGCCACAGCGCAACCCCACGAAGGTGGGGAAGTTGACGTGTCGGGCCCTCTTTGCAAACGAGTAGTGCGTGTCCTCCGAGTAGAACGCAACCGGCGAGAAGTAGTTCTCGCAAAACTCTTCTCAGCACTCTGGGAATGGAGCCGTGCTCCTCCTGGCTCGGGCAGGCTTGGCATTTGGAGGCACGGCTGCTTGGCGAAAGACAAGCCGTGGAGACGCCGCCACTTTCTTTTTGTCTACACCGGATTCCATGAGGAGGATTTTGCCACCGAGAAAATCTCGGGCATTCCACAGCGTGTTGCCTTTGGGAATCCGTAATAGCTCTTCCCTTCCTCGTCACCCTTCGCGTTCCACAGTGATGCGTAGTAGTCGAGCACAGGGCGCACCATGAATTTGGTGTTGGTGGAAATGCGGTCTCGTGGAATGTTGTTGATCTGGGGTCATAGTAACCAGCCAATCATACAAACATTTGACCACGATCACTTACATGCACGCCGAGGAAGTCATTCAGTTCGTCAATCTTCTGGTTGGCCTGGACCATGAACCGGGGTAGCTGCTGCTTCAGATAGGCGAGCGTCCTGGTGAGCGTCTCCTTGCGGGCTTGCAGACGGTCGGCTGGATGTTCTTCGAGATTGCCGTCCGTCAAGCTGGACGCAAGATCGAAGTTGACACCCTCGAGAGCTTTCCGTGGTGGGAGGGGAATCCCGCTGCGCGGGTACCATGGATGGATGGTCTTGGCGACCAGCGAGATTGTCGTAGGGTCGTTGTCCATGGCGATTCTTCCAAACAGAGAACTTCACGTAAGTTTCAATGTTGTTTTCTCATAGTTCTCTCTTTTAAGTTTTACTTTGTCTCACTCGTTTCGGGGAGGATTGCTGTTCTACCCGATCGGATGCTGGATCGTTGAAGCTCCAAAGCTGTAGACCAAGAGCATATGCGCCAAATACCAAGAGTCATGCCTGGCTCACAGGTTCGTCTTTGAGACTTTCACTTGCTAGAATTTCTAGGTGCTGGCAGGACGATCTTTTCAGAACAGTTACGTTGGACGCACAAGTCATCGCCCTCGGAAGTTAGGTCTCGAGAGTTGGAGGGGTTTTGGGAGAGGAAGATCCTTTCGTCGGACTCGAAGCTTTCAGTGTCTTCTCTTCCGGCAAGTTTCTCGGCTGACGCCACGACCAAGTGGCCCGATTTTAGATTCTTTCCAAAGCGGAAGGTGTTTGCGAGAGCATTTTCCGCCGAGGCTCGCGACGTAGCAGTGGAGATGCGAGCGCTCTTGCCGGGAGGCCCAAGCAACTACGATGGTCGAGAGTTCGCCAAGGATATGCTCAAGGGTTTGACAGCGAGGCAATTCGCACAGCTTAGCAAAAGTTTGCGACGTCGACGTCTACCACTTCCTCAGCTATGGCGAGCTGGAGGAAGGGCCGGTAAGTCTGGGCGAGCAGCCGCGAGCAGCGCTATCCCAGCACAGCATGGAGTCCCGTGATCAAGAACAGGAGGGATCTCTACTGGCGGAGCTAGACCGAGCATGGCAAGAAGAAAATTTAAGAAGTGGAAGACTGAAAACTTCGCATTCTTCGTCGAGATCCTGGCTGAGAAGCAGCAGCTCAAGGCACTGATTGGCAGAAGACATAGCATAGACAAGAAGAGCTCGACAAAAGAGCTGAGACGACGAACGCTGGTCCTCTCATTCCTCTTTATTGTCTAACGTCTTTCATTTAAACAAGACTCCGGAGAACAAAGCGAAGTTACTCTTTCTCTCCAAACTTTTCTACCAACAGAATCTTATTGATTTGCCTGGGCTTGCAAAGGACAGCAATCTACATAGTTAACGTTCTAGACTACAAACGCCCAAACTTACACATTCACTTTGGAAACGACTAATAAAGTTTATTTTCCTGCCTGCAAAATCTATGAGGAGAAGAAAAAAAGGAAAAATAAAAACACAAAAAAAAATTTAAAAAATCCAGGGGAAAGCACTGCAGGCTGTGGAAAGAAACACTTAGAGACGAGCTTTTGCGATTACCACATGAGCAGCTGCTCATGTGGTAATCGCAAAAGCTCGTCACTGCATCATCGCTTCCAATGATTGACAGACTGTCTGCAATCTCTGACAACTAAGAAGAGCAACACCTACATTACAATCACAAACCTCTCTCCAAAGTTTTCTCGTGCGAGGCAGATTGTGTACCCCGGGTCCGATCCAAGGCGCGAGTACTGTCCAGATCGGATGATATTTCCCACCAGCTGGCTGTACAAATTCCGCACAAAAAGAATCAAGCACGCTGCAAGCAAAGTCCCTTACAAAAGTAGAGTACACATTATCGTCAAGAACGCGACCAGCACCTGGATCGCCACACAGTAGCTAACAATCGCTCGAAAGCTTTGACAGACCATTTTGAGTTTTCTGCTTGTTCAACAGCATCACCGTCGTCAGTGTCCGCTTCCTGAATCATCGATGTTCGTGCCCTCTCTCATGAGCATTTCAGGCCTTGGAACCTTCCGTCAACTTCGTGATCGAAAGGAAGAAGGAAATCCATCAAAACTTTCAAACCATCGACCGCTATAGAATATTCTCTGTATTATATCGGGCGAGGGTCGAACCCACGACCTAGGTTGAGCTGTTGGATCGTTTAAAGTTGGCCAATTTGGGGGTCTGGAATGGAGGAGCAGGCGAATGTGGATAGCCTCTTCAAGGGTGTGAAAGTGCCGCCGCGCTTGAGAGAAGCCGTGGATGCCACGCTCGAGTTGCGGAGGGTCATCTCCGCCTTCAGGCAGAGTTGCTTCTTCTCTGTGGAGGGTGGAGCTCTGTTCGAGACAATTCAAGCGTGGTACGTGAAGAAATACGTGCCCAGTTCCAACCTGAAGGAGTACCCCAAGGTACACACTGTTTTTCTCGCTGTAGAGTTTAATTTGCTGCTTTAGGACCTGGAGGAAAGGAACCCATATGCACGGTATAAGACTCAATTCCCAAAGGCTGCAAGGGCGTGGTCCTCAAAGCTGGATTTCTTGCTTGATGAAATCCCGCTCTGCAACTCATCGCTGCAGTCGCTTGAGCGATGTACGTTTCCCTCGCAGCCAGATGAAAATACTGACAAAAAGAACAACAGGGACTGTAAGTGCAGCGGAGCTGGAGCAGCTCCTGCTAGACCTGGGTGACGGCGGAAGGCTTGCTCCTCTTATTACTGTGTGCCCTTACCTTACACACTTGGAGAACGTCTACATGGCCGTGTTAGACGCGCGGCTGTGGCTCAGCTATTCAGAGCTTCCTGTCGAACCTCTTCGGAACAGCGGATCATGTGAGTGAGCCTTCAGCATTCTTGACTTTTTAGTTGCTCATGCATGGTTTATAGACAAGGCAATTCGTATGGGGTCCGCTCGACCTGTGCGGCAGCTGCAGGGCAAGCCTCCCTCCTCCTTCTACGCCCTCGAGATGCAGCTTGAAGCGAGCAACTACTTGGGCATTCTCAGCGACCCGGGTTCGACGGTGTACTACGTGACGCCAATGGATTTTGAGCCAGGGAGACGCGGCTGTTACATGGCGAGGATGTTGAGATTGGGGCGGGGCGTCATGCGCAAGCGCGGGATGTCACCAAAACAGCTTGCTGCAAGCCTGGCTGCAACGCCCATTGATGATAAGGAGTTCAAGGACCGCTTCCTCAAGCACAATAAGATGACAGAAACATCTTCCATGGCCAAGCTCCTGGCTCACCGCATATACGACATCGGTGTCTAGCGGCATGTTTTGTTTCTGCTTGTGTGGTCTTTCTTTCAGTTGCTGCTCCTTGTCAGCTTTTATCCAGATCTTTTTTAAGATTGAATAGCCACTGGACCTTCATGCACCGTTTGTGATCTTTATTTATAACAAAAAGGTATAAAGGTATCATGTCTACAGCTTGAGGTAACAACTGAACTCTATAAATTAAATAATTGATATTATTTAATAGTATTATGAGCGAAGTGTATGTAGCGGGATTTTGATACTTGTTCTGTTTAATTAGTTTTAATTTAGACCACTCATTTCTATATATAAACTAAGGTTTTTGGGTTAATTGATATATACATTTTTATATTCCAAAATGTGCAAGCTTAAAAAGCCTTTATATGGATTAAAGTAGTTTCCACGGCAGTGGTATGAGAAGATGAATGGTTATCTCCTCTCCATCGGTTTTGTGAGTTTCAGCAGATTCTAATGTTTATCTTTGCAAGTCAGGTACGACATATATTTATCTTGCACTCTATGTAGACGATTGTCTACTAGTCGGTCCAACTCGCATAGCTTTGCAGCAGCTCAAGCATGAGCTACAGGCACGATTTAAGATGGCGGATCTTGGATCAGTGAAATATTGTTTGGGGATAAGTTTATATGCAACAGGCAGGCTGGTATCATACAATTATCTCAGCAGAAATATGTTGACGATATCTTGGAGAGGTTTCATCTTGCTGAGTTGAATGAAGGGTCAACTCCTATGGAAGCTGGCCTCCATCTCAGCAAAGATCAAGTCCCACAAACAGTTGAGAAATGCGAGAAGATAAAGCACATACCATGGTTGGCAGCTTGGTCTGCACACAGCCAGATTTGGCTTTTTCAGTGGGAGCAGTGTCCCAGTTTCTCAAGACTCCAGGATTTCCCCATTGGTTGGCAGTCAAACGCATCTTTCGCTACTTGAAGGGGACCTGACATTATGCACTCATGTACTCCAAAGTCCCAGCAGGTATGCAACTGTTTGGCTTCACGGATAGGTGAGGTTGAGCAGCCAGGTTATATTTTTAGTCTCGGCAGCGGCGCTATCACATGGTCCAGTAAGCGACAGTCAACTATAGCGTTATCGTCGACCGAAGCAGAGTGTATGTTGCAGCTACTCAAGCAGCGAAGGAATGTTGCTGGCTACGACAGCTTTTGGACGGCATCGGCTATTCTCAGCTAGCGCCAACGGTTATTTTTGGCGATAACCAGGGTGCTATCGCACTCACCAAGAATCCCAGGTAACATATCCAGGTGCAGTTCCATTATATTCGAGATCAAGTGAACCGAGCTCATCCATTGTGGAACAACAGAGCAGGTTGCAGATATTTTTACCAAGGCATTACCTCCAGGGATTCCAGTGCTGTGGTGCTACTGCAAGCCTTGAGAGCAGCCACGAAGCTCAAGACGTCGTGCTCGCAGCCCTGGGAGTCCAAGCACGAGAAGAGCTCCAGCGCCATCTCTCCCTCTCCACAGTCTGCGTATCCCATCATCAAAGAGTTCCACGAAACCACGTCCCTGTGCCTCATCTCTGATAAGGATGAACAGAGTCTCGTTCATCACAAGAGGCTACAAAGGAACACATACCCCCTTCGATGTCCCCTAACTGCCTACCGCGCCTCTAGAGAGCTCTGGAGAATATGCTATGCCAGCATATTCATATCACTCCCACTCGAGCACTAAGGTGCTCGCTCAAGGAGCTCTCTCACGCCAAGTGCTTCTCAGCTGCGAGGAATCGATCGAGCCAAGCGATCTGTCAGTGGTCAAGAACTGCCTGCTAGATCTCTACGGAAAATGCGGGAGCATGGTCGACGCTCAGATCGTTTTTGATTCGCTGGAGACGAGAAGCTCGCTCAACTGGAGCTCGGTGGTGGCAGGATATGGCCGCAAGGGAGACGCTCACTGGGTTTTAGAGATGTTTGACAATATGAATTGACTGCTTAGGGCTAACTACCTAACTGTTGACCAATATTATTTACAATGAATCAATGTTTTTTTGTTTTCTCCCAACTTTGGAGCACAGACGAGGATGGAGAAGCTACTTCAAACGATCATCCTGGCGAGCCGCGAGAGCTGTCCACCAATTCTCACAAGCTCTTGGATCTCTTCTTGACGATCCGGCGAAGAACCACCAGTCTGGCCCTCCGGATGTCCCTGCTGCAGCGATCGACGTGCTCCTCCAGTTCGTCCAGATCCCGGATGAATGCGCTCTGCCGGCTCTTGAGCTGCTCTACCACCAGATGCATGCCAAAGCCGTCCGCGTGCCTCTGCCCAAACTGTATGCAGTGGACGATCGATTCCATGGAGTTCCTGAGGCTGTTGATGAGCGCTCGTATCGTGTCCATCTCCTTGATCGTCACAAACGTCTTGAAGTTCGCTTCTCTCATCAGATCCCGGCGTGCCTGGAGCTCCTTCTCGTACTTGGTGAGGAAGGACTTGATCCATCTTCCCAGGGTCTCGAGTGGCATCGACGATACCGCTGCCACCGCCCCTACGATCGCTGGGACTGTCATCACCGCCGCCACCACCGCACAGATCACCAGCGCCGCGCAAGTCGCAGCGTAGATGATCGTCGACACCTTCGTCCAGCCGCGGACATACCGCAGCTTCCTGTCCAGCGACTTCTTCTTCGCCTGAAGCTTTCTCTGCAGCTCCATCTGCTTCTGGTAGACGGTCTGGAACTTGTCCATGAACTCGTCCGTGAAGGGGTTGCCGGCGTCCACGTACTGGTTGAGCTCTTTGAGAATTGCCTGGCACTGCTCCTCGTTTGGATCTCCTTCGCTGGGCATCATGTTGATCGCTACCTGGATCGACATCTGGTTCTCCCTGGCCTGTTTGATACACTTGTTGAGCTCCTCGCAAAAGTCTAGCGTAGCCATGCTGTTGTCGAAGTAGTCCTTCACCAGCTCAAACAGCGAGTCGCTTGCCCACACGTCCTTCTTGTAGTTGAGAATTACGTTCACAACCTCCTGGTCGAGCTCTAAAAAGCTGGTGGTCACATCCTTTAACGATTGGAATGAAAGTCCCCTCTCGTCCACCCCGGCCACCATGCTCTGGAGCACCCTCTCTGTTCGTTCCTTGAGCCCATCCCCAAATTTTCTCACGTCTGGATCCATGGCACATACTCTCTCGTACTCGCTGAGATCTATGCTGCTCAAACTTTCTCCCGGCGAGAGTGACCGGCTGCTCTGGTTACCCATTTCTTCTTTTTCCTTGCCCTGTTCTAAATTCCTGTAGGCCTACCAGATTGACAGTTCTAACTACCATCCAATCCCCTCGACTCCAACTCACATTGGCACCTTTTGTGAGAAGGTATGTGCATGAGATTTTCATCCTTACCTCTCACTTTGGTAATAGGCAGGTGCGGCGGTTGATCTCGTGCGCTATGGAATCGGCGCTTGCCACAGCAATGGAATCCCGTTCGATGCAAATGCAGCACCCGATGAGTTGGCCGAGCTTCTGTAAGCTTCTAATTGTTTATTTTTTCTTATTTAAAGCTTGTGTTCTTCACAGCTGGACGGCGAACTCCTGACGAAAGACTCGTAGTATCGAGAACAAAATCATGGACTTGTGCTACCGTTCCTGGTCCATAGCGTTGAGTTGTGTTGTGATCTGGCCCAGATGCTCCTAACTGGATTAAGACTGGTAAGAAGGTTTCCAATATAGTCAGACGAATTTTGAATTTTCTTTTTTTTTTTCCTCTCTCTTTTCCTTTAGATTTTCTTTTTGAGTGACGAGAGCAAACAGTCGCCTTATGGTCTTGGCGACCAGCGAGATTGTCGTAGGGTCGTTGTCCATGGCGATTCTTCCAAACAGAGAACTTCACGTAAGTTTCAATGTTGTTTTCTCATAGTTCTCTCTTTTAAGTTTTACTTTGTCTCACTCGTTTCGGGGAGGATTGCTGTTCTACCCGATCGGATGCTGGATCGTTGAAGCTCCAAAGCTGTAGACCAAGAGCATATGCGCCAAATACCAAGAGTCATGCCTGGCTCACAGGTTCGTCTTTGAGACTTTCACTTGCTAGAATTTCTAGGTGCTGGCAGGACGATCTTTTCAGAACAGTTACGTTGGACGCACAAGTCATCGCCCTCGGAAGTTAGGTCTCGAGAGTTGGAGGGGTTTTGGGAGAGGAAGATCCTTTCGTCGGACTCGAAGCTTTCAGTGTCTTCTCTTCCGGCAAGTTTCTCGGCTGACGCCACGACCAAGTGGCCCGATTTTAGATTCTTTCCAAAGCGGAAGGTGTTTGCGAGAGCATTTTCCGCCGAGGCTCGCGACGTAGCAGTGGAGATGCGAGCGCTCTTGCCGGGAGGCCCAAGCAACTACGATGGTCGAGAGTTCGCCAAGGATATGCTCAAGGGTTTGACAGCGAGGCAATTCGCACAGCTTAGCAAAAGTTTGCGACGACGACGTCTACCACTTCCTCAGCTATGGCGAGCTGGAGGAAGGGCCGGTAAGTCTGGGCGAGCAGCCGCGAGCAGCGCTATCCCAGCACAGCATGGAGTCCCGTGATCAAGAACAGGAGGGATCTCTACTGGCGGAGCTAGACCGAGCATGGCAAGAAGAAAATTTAAGAAGTGGAAGACTGAAAACTTCGCATTCTTCGTCGAGATCCTGGAGAGAACGAGAAAGGACTAAATACTGCTGTGGAACATTCATAAAAGCTTTTGTTCAAGTGTATTGCTCATGCTAGGTGGACTGTCTCAATTAGGGTGTCCCTGCATTCCTCCATGGCTTGAAGGTACTTTGCAACATCTGCAGATGTTGTAAGATCTCCCAGGAAGGTGGGTAAGTAGTGTGTGTGAAAGCTGAGTATTGGGACGTAGACGTGCGATCTTAGACGCTGGTAGACCACGTTGGAGATCTTTGACTTCAAGCCAGCAAAGCTGGTAGAGTTGCTACTCTTGTGGAGTAGACGGTGACTTGACAACATGGAAATGGTGTGCACCAGTTATAGCATAGTGGCACTGTGCGTTTGCATCACTATCCTGTGCTCTGCCTTTGGACCCGTCTATGCATACATGGAAATGCTGAGGGAGAATTGGACATGTGCTGGGACTGATGGCATGGTACAACAGAAGTCCAATTTGTCACTGTAGGTTGATGTGTAGCAAGTATTCTTTAAAACGTGGTTTTACATTGGTCCTCGCAAGCCATCCTTTCAAAGCAAGCTCAAGAGATTGTCATGGCTGGTTGGGCAAGGAGCGCTTCCAAGTGAATTCCCAATCGTGCTGTCTAGGTAATACGGTCGTTCCACCATCTGGTTTAGAGTTCCTTGTGAAGACCAATGGAGTTAGTGATTGCAGTGACCACACATCAGTCCATAGTCTTATGTTTGGTTGTGACTGAATACCTAGTCCCCATGCGTCAAGAGAAGAGTGGTTGTGATCCACATGTTGAAGTGTTGTTTCCTCGCATCCCAACGATAGATGGAGGCATTGTGTGTGCTAGGCAATTGCTTCTCAATGGGTCACATAAGTGGTCCACGTGCACTGGCGGTGGATTTACAGACTCAAATATTTATAGCCCTCAACTTTCTCTCCTCAGTAAAGTTGTGGTGAGAGACCCTTCTTCAAGCCAAAGACAACTATTTGTGTCTTTGCAGTGTTAACAACTAGAAACGTTTATTGACTAACAAGAGCATGCATGGCTTACTCAAATGGAGGCAAAGAGGAGTGGGTCATCCGCATAGAGCAACAGGTGAAGATAAAGGCTAGCCATTTGGATCAAGGAGAGTGATTTGTGTGTAAACAATGTCCTGAGAGTGTTAATGTTAATGCTGACGACACTGGGGGAGAGTGGGCATCCCTGTTTAACTCTTGCATCACTTATGATGGAGACATCTTTGTTAAGCTCTGCTTGGATGTGAGAGTAAAGGTGACAAATGTGAAGCGGTGCTCCAGGGTGTTCAAGGTGTTGGTTAAGCAAATGTCACAACACATTATTGAAAACCTTTTGAAAGTCCACAAAACACGTCGTTTTTTTAGCTCTAGTTTTGTTTAGCAGTGTTCACAAAGTAATCAAGTGATCAATGCAGCTGCATTTGGGCCGAAATCCAGCCTTTCCCCACACTTCTATCCTCATGTCCTCTACCCAAAGTGTAAGGTGGTGCTCGAGAAGCTAAGTGTAGAGTTTTAAAAACACACTACTAACCATGGTACAACATTAGTTGGTAGGTTGAGTTGGATTGCAATACTCCTGTTGATTTTTCTAGTGAGTGATCTTTATTGCAAGATTAGAGTATGACAAGTCTACTTATATCATGAGAGAAAATAACAGTAATAGACGTAAATTGGATCAGTTTCTAGCAATCTTAAGGGCTGTGTAGTATTTAGTTGTACATTGACAAACCATTAACACCTCAAGAAGTAAGCCTTGATGTTAGAGATAGGTTGAGTTGAAATAGTGTTGTCTAAGAAGGCTAGGTAGAGTCGGATCCTTGGCTTGTCATCAGGATGGAGATAGGATGATGGTTCCATGTGTCCCCTTTGGAACAGTTTTTGAAGGGGGAAACTTTTAACCTTTTGTTCTGTTCATCCCTTAAGTGACAGCACTGAAAAATGCTTGAAACCTGTAGAACAAACTAATAAAATAATGCCATGTATAAAAATGGCAATCATCACTACAATTTTATATTAATGACAGCATTTTTCTTAAAATTTTATTAGGGGAGTTTTTTCTTTTAGGGGGAAAAAAGGGGGACACATGGACCCAGATTGAAATTTCATTCTTTTTGATGGTGGTGGGGGTGTTGTAAGCAGGTGGGAGTGGCCTAGGACAGCTTGTGGCAACAACTTGGTGTAGATAAAATGACTAGTCATGAGCCATGGTTGGTGTGATATTGAGTCTAATACGGAAGAGATCATGGTATGGTATGGATCACAGATGGTGATCTCTATAGGAATTGGGATATGAGCAAGGACTTCATATGTAATGTGATAGATAAGCAGGTCTGTTGTGACATAGTGTCTGGCTGGAAGAGATTGTAGAGTGCATCAATGGTCTAACACGATGCATCAACATTTGAGATGCAGCAATGGAGTGAGAAGCATTTTGGCTGTGGTGGCCCTTATTGAGATGGACACTTTGTGGATATGCAAGACATCAACAGCATCATGTGGTCCTGGAGAAAGGCAGAAGTTAGTGTATCCGTATATGGTGTGGAGCATACTTCCAAACCAGGGTAGGGCATGCCTGTAGTAATACAGCCAATGGTGATGAACTGCTATTGGACCGCTCGAATTTCGAATAGATAAGGTGGCGTATCTCCTAATTTAAATGACAGTTGTTGTGTTGTTAACAGTCTTTGTATGTTTGTCCAGAGAGCTCTTGTGGTTGACATTTATCTCTCCCATTGGAAAATATTTATATAAGTTTAAAAAATTATAATCTAAAAGTTATATCAACCGTTTTAGAAAACTAAAACTCCAGTGATCCTTTTCTTCCAAAAGTCTTCAGCCGTATCAGCTAGTAAATGCAGGTTTGTCAGAATATAAAAATACCGAGCATGCTTCTTAATTTTATATTTGTGGGTGGGGTGCCTCCGTGAGGAAGCGTTCCAAAAATTTGGATATGCCGCTATTGTGTGGCCAGCACACGGTATTCTTTAGTAAAAGGCGAAAGAATAATTCGCTTTGCGCTGACCACACGGCCCGTGTATTCAAAAGTTGATCCTTAATCTCTTTATATACACATCCCCAGGCATGAAACCAAGCTCCGGCATGTGGGATATGTCCAAAAGCCCTAGGTCACCGTACACTTTCGTACTGCCCTTATTCTTAGAATTCAAAAGTTTATCAAGTTTGAAATTGCTAGGCCACACAGAACGCGTAGATCGAATCACCGGTCGTGGGAGGCATGTATCCAGATCCAACGAAAGCACACCCGTCGGCCACAGAGAATCCCCCGCCCTGTTTGGCATTTGTCATGCCCCTCCACACAATGCTCCCATTCCTGGCGTCCAGCGCGTAAATGTAACCCGCGTCCTCGAACGATCCAACAAACAACACATCGTTTGCAATGGCCACCGCTCCATAAGCTAGAGCGCCGGTGGGATTTGCCGTGGACCAGCGTATCACTCCAGTGTTGGCATCCATGGCTACCCAGCCGCCCCCCCGAGTGACATTGCTAGATGGGATGAGCGTGAAGTTCAGCCCATCTCTGTTGACGATGTTGGTGTAGATCCTCGTGTTATCAGCGGCAGCTCCCCAGATTGCTCCTCCACTCTTGCTACCAGGTCCAGCAAGCTATAGAACAATCATCGGATTAGTATCATCTCGTATACACTAAGTTTACTTACAGTTTCCCATACGAGTTCTCCAGTTGATCGGTCGTGAGCCCAGACAATGCCGCTCTTCTGGCCCGTGACAACCACATCTCTCCATCTGTTTCTGTGACGAATGGTGACGAGCATTGGAGATTCTCCAAAGTCGTAGTCCGGGCCCGGCTGTGAGGGGCAATTTGGTAGTGGATTTGCCCGGTCGCGGCAAATGAAGGAGAAGACATCGTCGCCACCGAGCCTGTTACACCACCTTATGGCTCCGGTCTCCGTGTCGAGTGCAACCACCGCATCGTCGCAGAGGGTTGCGTTTGATGGAAAGCAACCGGTTCGATTTGCATCGAGGCATGCCTGGACGGACGCTGGAACCGTGTAGAGGTTTCCAGTTGCGATGTAGACGAGGCCTCGCTCTTCGTCAATGGAAGGGCTGCTTCCCCAGATTGCGGCTCCAGAGTAAAGTCCATTTTGCCCGTGGTTGTCCGGAAGCATGCCCGTTTTCCAGATTCGTGCCCCTGTCTTCAGACTGAGCTTTTGAAAGCTCCCTTGGAAGGTGCAGCAAATGGTGTCGTTCACCTCTTGGTCTGACGAGATTCCAACGTAGAAAGCACTGAAAACATATAAACATCAATAGTAATAAGTAATATAAATAGGAAAAATATTTACTCTTTGTTAGCTGTTCCAGACATGGTAATTTTCGCAAGGGGCGTTTCCTCAAGCTCCTGGGAGATCCATACTAGCTTTCCAGTCTCTCTTTCCAACGCGACAACCTTGGCAGGGCCGAGCAATCCAAGGATTACCAGCTCTTTTGTCACTGCCGGAGAAGTTCTCGAGATCACCCCACTCAAGCCTGTGATCTGTGTCAAATTCACCCTCCAGACCAAAGATCCTTGCATAGACACTGCAAAGACAAGCCCACTCCAAGTTGGAACGTAGATCACACCCTTGTAGATGGCTGGAGTCGCCGAGACGAATGGTCCGGTGACAAATCTCCACTTTTGAGCGAGGGTGTGAGCGTTTTGGGGGCTAATCTTGTGCTCCTTCTCCTGGAAGCGCCTGTTGGTGATATCTCCTCCATGGTTTGTCCAATCTCCTTGATCACATTCACATATAGTCTTGAAGAAACACAGTAAGAAATCTAGAAAATCGCTGTGCTACTTACCAGCAGGAAGAAGCAAATCACAAGTGTTATACTAGAACACGCCATTGAACTGATCCATCAAGGAATGGACTTTTATAAAGGAAAATCCAAGTTTGCTACAACCGTCATTGACATTAAAGACGAATAAGATAGAATATAAGTTGACGTTAAAGTCTCATAAACCCTAAATGCATATGCCCTAAAACCCTAAATGCCACTGGATTAGGGTTCTTGGACTATGGCCGCGAAATGGAAGGCGCAGCAGCGGAAGCAGCGATGGCAGCACAGCGCGGTGCTGCTCCCCTCCTCTCTAATCTCTCGCGCCGGCGCGGACGCGAGGATCTCTTCTTTCTGCACGGCTCTGCGCGAGTGGAGCTCGCTGGGAAACACGTTTGATCAGGTATCCGGCGCCAAGCGCCTCGTAGCAGCGCTAGAGGCGGTCGCAGGGGTAGAATCCGAGGCGCTGGCCGTGGCATTGTCGGTGTTCGTGGAGATTTTGTTCCAGGAGGGATCCAGGCCCGTCCACCGCACGATGCTCTCGGCTCTCACGCAATTCCAGCAGTGTCGCGAGGTTCTAGAAGGGATATTCCAGCGGTGTTGTGCGGATTATGGACTGGGGGGCTCGAATGAGAGAAGATTTGCGCTGGTGGCGGTGGGGCTCTCTCTCGCGAGCTTGCCAAAGCCGGGGCTACTCAAGGACGTGGTTCGCAAGTGCTCTACGCTGATAGCTTCCAGCGCAAGCTTCGACGTCCGGGACGTGTTGACGCGGTCGGAGAGTGGTGAGAATGCCACTCCATCGCTCATGGAGGATTGCCAGGACGCCATGTCCACGGTCTACTACATGCTCCAGAACTCGTCCCAGGACTTTGGAAGCCAGGCTTTTGGGGACGTGGTGGTGACTTCGCTGGATGTTTTGCAAAGCTCGCTCATGTCCCGGGACTGCGTGGTAGCAGCGGGGGTTTGCTTGTGTGCTACCGCCCAGATGTCGAGCTCGCGGTCGAGACTGGCGTTGATGCTCGCCGAGGCTCTCTTCCCAGAGGTGAATTCACAGTGTTGTGCCGTGGAAGAGGAGTTTAGCAGGGATAATAGCGAACAAGGCAAGCTAGAGAGCGTGATTCACAGATTACGTCGCTCGACTATGGCCGAGGAGGCCGAGAAGTTCACGGATTTTGGTCGGCTGTGCGTACTTCGAGGACTTCTCACGGCTGCTCCTCGAGAGGTTTTGAATTACTGCCTGCTCAAAAAGGTGACGGTAGAAGAAGATGGTCGAAGAACCTCCAACTTGGTCGTGTGGACGCTTCTATACGATGGGATCTTGCCGGCTCTCTGTGCCGCAACGGAGAGCTCCTTCGACAGCCACTTCAAGTTCCATGTTATGACTGCGCTCCAGATATGTCTACAACAGATCAAGGCGTCGATCTTGGGCAACGTTACAGCAGCCGCGATTGACGAGCTCCGGAGCGTCAAAGGAGCAGCTTTTACTGCTCCAGCGACGCCATTTTCTCCGACGATGACGAGCAGAGTTATGCAGATCATTTGGAACAACTGGGAAGACCCTCTCAATCAGACCGTCCGGCAGGTCCAGATGGTTTTCGACTTACTTGCGGACTTGCAATCTTCGTCAACAAGTGAAGGCGGTGAAACGGCACAGGCACAAAATGGCACGCAGTCTTTTTTGCATCAGATTGCGAACGATCTCCTCACAGTTGGTGGACACCGGAAAGGAAGATATGTTCCTCTGGCTACGTTGGCGTTGCGACTTGGAGCTCAGACGCTGTTGGAGATGTGCCCGGGCCTTCTTTTCCAGACCATTCACGCCATGTCCGATGATGGAGTTTGCTGCGCAGCAAGCTCGTTTTTAAAGTTGTTCCTGGAGCGGCTTCGCGACGAGTGCTGGAACAACGAAGGCGTTACGCAGGGAAGCATACGATTTCGGCAACTTTGGGTTCCTCCGATGGTGGCTGGCGTCGTTGCTGGAAACCCAAGACTTCGGATCAACTTACACACGTACGCACTTTCGGTGGGACTGGAGATTGACAGCGATAGCCTTTTACAGATGCTGGGGTTCGTTTTAGATGGCTTGGCTGTTCGTGAGGTGCCATCATGGGAGGACTTGCGGGGTGCTGCTGGAATGCCAGATTTTTTGACGCAGAACCAACGGGTGGCCTTGTTTGTGTCTCTTATCAAGGTCGCTCGGGGATTAGCTCTGATGGAAAACGAAATCAGGACGTCTGGAAGTGCGTCGGAGATGACGTTTCTGGTGAAAGGTGTGGCCGTTTACGCACCAATATCTCTTCTAGAGCTCGCGCTTACTCATCTCGAAGAAGGTTTACGGGTGGATTCTGCGGAGCTTATTTGCTTGAATCCCAAGACAGCGGTGATGCCTTCACCTTTCGAGCTGCATCTTTTGAGGGTGGCAATGCCTTTGAACATGAGGTGCTCTTCGACAGCTTTCCGGATGAAATGGACGAGTTTGCTCAAGAAGTTTTTCAGCAGAGTTCGGGTGGCGACTGACAGGCAGATGAAACTGGAATCATCAAAGGGTGGCTACAGAAATGGAGAACAGGCTTCTGGAGCTATTCAGAGGAAGCTCGACAGCTCAGTGGTGACGCTCGCAGAGATGCAGGCGTTCATGCAATGGTTGACGCGGCTGCTGGTTTCATCCTTATACCCGTCAGCTCCTTACGAGCGGAAGTACATGGCGATGGAAATACTCAACGTACTACTCGACGTTTGGCCCACGACGGATCAGCTGCAGTCCAAGAAAAACTTCTCGCCGTATGGAAAGGAGCTCTTCTCGGCAGACTACACGATGGTTCTTCTCGGTGCTGTCGTGGATAGCTGGGACCGTCTCAGAGAGAGCGCCTACAAGATACTTTTACGCTATCCGACTCCATTACCGGGCTTAGAAGCACAAGAGAAGGTGGCGGAGGTGTTACAATGGGGAAAAGTTCTTGCGAATAGTCCTCGTGTCAGAGAAAGCGATGCAGGAGCGCTTGTGTTGAGGCTCATATTTCGAAAGTACGTCTGCGAGCTCGGATGGAGAGTTTCACTACATCCAGAAGCTGAGGCTGTGCAGACGAAGCCTGTTTCTGGGGATCAGATTGTTCGCTACATCGAGTCACTCAACGATTGGCTCGAGGCTGGGGTTTTGGAAGGTGAAAGGAACCTCGTAACGGCTTGCAAGCACAGCTTTGTACACGGGGTTCTACTCACGCTCCGTTACACTTTCAGCGAGCTGGATTGGATTTCTGATGGAGTGAGGACCAATGTCGCCGGACTTCGCACGGCCTGTGAAAGGCTTTTTAAGCTCCTGTTGAAGGTTACGTCTCTAGCTCTCTGGGTTGTATCAGTTGATGCTCTCAACCTCAAGGAGAAAGAGTATGAAGGCTTGGACGAAGACGTTGAGGATCTACATGTGTCTGATTCTGATGATATTGAAGGTGATGATGATGGCATTGGTGGAGATGACGATGCTAGCCTTTTGGCTCCACTGGAACAGATGGTTATGGTAGGCTGCTGGCTATCCATGAAAGAGGTACGTGAAAGTTTTTTCTTTCTATTTTTCTTTGCTTAACGTTTTTCAGGTCAGCTTGCTCCTAGGGACTGTTGCACGAGGGGCACCACTACCCGGTTGTAGCTACAACGCTAGGACTGGAAATGGTGTTCTCCAGTCTTTAGAAGAATCGAAGTTTATTATGTTGGAGTCTGCACAGCTTGAAGAAATCGGTCAGCATTTTTTGCAAGTGCTTCTTGCTATGAAGCATAATGGCGCTATTGACAAAACTCGAGTTGGCTTTGTCGCTCTGTGCAATCGTTTACTGCTCTCAAGCGACACAAGGTTAGGTGGTTCGTTCTTCATCAAACTCGGACTAATCTGTGTTTTTACAGGTTAAGCAAGATGCCTGAGATTTGGATGCAGCAACTTATGAAACGGACTGTTCTTAAGGACCAATCGCTCGATGATCTGCTGAGAAGGAGCGCAGGAATTCCGGCGTCGTTTCTCGCGTTGTTTCTTTCGGAACACGACGGTGCGCCGAGAAAGCTTCTTCCCATGGGCTTAAGGTGGCTGATTGACAACATCAAACAATTTCTCAACTCCTCGACCAGTAAAGATGTGGTGCCTGTCGTGCACGCCTTCAACACTCTCAGAGTAACTTTCAACGACACGAACTTATCAACTGATACGTCTGGATTTTGCGCTGAAGCTTTGATAGTTGCCATTAAAGCATTTGCTTCTCCTTATTGGCAAGTCCGGAACAGTGCCACACTCGCTTTCACTGCGCTACTACATCGTATCGTTGGATTTCTAAACGTACACAAGCAGGCTACAGCACGTCGTGCTATTACTGGTTTTGAGTTCTTTAACAGGTATGGTTAGGCTCGTTTCTTGATCTATTACATGTTTCGATTTCAGGTATCCCGCTCTACATCCGTTCCTTCTGGAGGAACTAGAATGTGCTACCATGAACTTACAACAGGGGGTGACGCAAAGCCGGCTTCATCCGAGCCTTGCACCAATTCTGGTGATTCTTTCGCGTCTGAGGCCATCGATTGTCAACACAAGGACGGACGACTGGCTGAGCCCTTCAGCATTCATGCCGTCCGTCGTGCGGTGTGCAACTCAGTGCAATTTAAAGCTCCGAGTTCTCGCATCTCGTGCGTTAGCACCGCTTGTCACCGCGGAGAACCTTTTGAACGTTCTGCTGGAGCTCTGTAGCCAGTTATCGAAGAAGCCAGTGCGTTACAACACCATCCACGGCGTTTTACTGCAGCTATCATCGCTTCTTAAATCCAACTGTACGGAGGTATCCCAGCAGGAACAGCAGGGACAGATCGTGGTGCAGGTTTTCAACAGGATCAAAGAGTGCACACTACTTGGCACGATAAACCGGACATCTTGTTTTATAGTGGTTGCGGCATTTCTTGGAGTTTTACAAGATCTTCTGGAACTGGCTTATCAGTGCCAACAGGTGCCATCAGTGCGGGAAAGCATGCAACAACTCCAGCCGGTACTCTTGCACCTCAGCAGCGAAAGTGTCAGCCATAGCGACAGTTCCGCAAAGCCGTGGGACTCGACGCTTGTGGATTTGAAAGGACTAGCTGCGGATATCTACTTCAGCACAATTCTGCGAGGTTGGCAAACTTCCAACGCTGATATCGCTTCGGGTCAGACGACGGTCTCGAAAACTTTTTATACGACTTTACGAGAAGCGCTGGCTGACAAGATGTACGAGGTTAGACTGGCAACACTGAAGGCGCTAAAGTCATTCTCGACACAAGATTTCGCTGTTGCTTTCACGCAGTTGGACGCGAGAATACTGCATGGCCTGTTAACAGAGCGTTTATATACGGAGCTTCATCCCAGATGCGTGAAGCGCTTATTACAGGTTTTTCTGAGATGGAACCTTCTCGCAGTTGACAACGATCCTCAGCAGGACCCTTTCAAGATATGGAACACGTTACTCGGAATTTACAACACCTCCAAGGTCTCCAAGACAAGGGAATCTGCAGTACGTTGTCTCGGCAATTGCATGCAACACCTTCTCGTCTCAATGAAGGCCGACATGGTGGACAGGGACTTGGACGACTCCGACTGGGAAGTCTTTCGCGGGGTGCTCGAGACATGGAACGATCTGATACGACGCCACAGTGCGGCCAGCGAGCCTGTAAACTTGAGGAGAGCGATTTCTTCGGCAATAATCTCCTCGAGGTGCTTGGAGGAGTCTAAGTGGCTCAGGGAGAATACCAGGATGGTGGCAGTGTCTCCGAGGTTGAAGTGGTACAGGAAAATAGTTCTGAGCGTCTGGTCTGTAACCATCAACCTTTTGGAGGACGAAGACATTGTTCTACGCCAGCAGCTTGCGTTGGCCCTCCAGGACGTCATGGTACCCGTTTTCAAAGCTCCGCATGCTAGCGTTCCAGCTCAAGTGGAGAGGGTGCTGGAAACGAGCCTCGCATTCCTGAGGTTCCAGTTCCAGGAATGCGATTTCTTCTACGACTTTCTTGCTGGGTGGATACTGGGCGACAACAGCTCTCGTTTTGGAGGCCTCCAGAACACAGACCTGGTCCGTAAGCTGTTCGACAAAGAGCTCGATAACCACCACGAGGAGCAGCTACTGGTGGTCCAACTTTGCTGCTCGCACATCGAAAGCTTCCTCGACTCGCCGGAACACTCGACCGAGTTTGTCACAAAATGGCGAGGCAAATTCCTGGACCAGGCAGTGGCTTGTGCAAAGTGGTGTTTGGAGCTCCAGCGATCAACGCACTGGGTCGGAGGCATAACAAACCACCAGGACGTGTTCAAGCACCTATACAGGACCTTGCTCGGATTATTAGTGCTATCAACACCAAAAACCACAGGAAACTCGTCTTTAAGCTCCCTGCAAGCTCTAAAAGGGAGTCTTTTGGAGCTGACATCGCTAAGCGAGGTACCTCTAAGTCCCATGATTTCTAACTTGCTCTCCAGATTACTCCAAGCGGTCGAGCACAGCACCGGCATGAACTTGGTTGCCGATTCTTTCCGAGCTTCCATGCATGACAGCTACTGCCCGGACTTTGAGCCGTTTTTCTTGCTCAAATAGAAGTTTAAGCAACTGTCCAACTTTGTCATCGTGATCCATGTGGGACTGCCAAATTTTTTGACTACGATACAGCTGTGGCAATTTGCCGCTCGCCACGTTTTTGGGATATATCCACTCGTCGTGTCGGCATCATATTACTTCCGTCAAGTTTTATCACACTCGTCGAAAAGTGTGATAAACAGTCGCTTAAGAGCGTCTAAAGATACGCTTATCACGTTACAGTGACGCTATATCTATCTTTTCGTGTCACAGGAGGAGCGAGCGAGCTTGGGACACTACTCGCAGAGTAAGTCCTTCGGCTCTTAATGCGCTGATTGCCGAGTTTTTGTTCTTTTCCAGGTCGATTGATCGAAAAGCCACCATGGTCTATCACAGGAACTTGCTCCAAGTGCAGCCTTCGGAGGCTATATACCAAGATCTGAGGGCCATTGGCACCGCGTCCCGTGATATCGGGATCCAGCTCGCCGCTACCGTTTCTGCGGGGCATTTCGGATTCCTGAGATGGCTTGCAACCATAGCTGCCATGTAAGTCACAAAGGTGTTTTTTCCCTGAGTTCTCACTTGCTTGGATGATCTTGGCTTGCGCAGATTCCTCATTGTTGTGGATAGAACCCACTGGAAGACTGATCTCCTGACCGGGCTGCTGGTGCCTTACATCTGGCTCAACCTTCCTCCAATCCTCTTCGGCTTCTTCAGGTGCTAGTTTTCCAAGTTCTTCTACTTCGGTTCCACGATTTAGTGTGACAGGGGCGAGGTCGGCAAGTGGATTTCCCTCATCACTGTTATTGTCCGTCTCTTCATCCCCCGAAAGTTCCCAGGTACTTGAACCAGAAAAGCTTTCAAGTTTCTCGAGTTTAGAGGGGTTTTTTTTTTTTTTTCTTGTATCCTTCGCAGAGGAAGCGGAGCTGCCCGTGTCACTCATCCTCCTCATCGTCGTTGCTCCAAACCTCCTGGCCGACTCGGTGAGAAACAGCTTAGCTGGGATAATCGTGAGCTTGGCAATCGGCTGCTACCTCCTCGTCCAGCACATCAACAATGCCGGTGGCTTCCGCAAGGCGTTCGCCGCGCAAAACGGCATCCCAAACACCATTGGCATCCTCCTCCTCTTCGTCTCGCCGCTCTGGGAGATCTTCCACCACTACCTCTGAGCTTTGTGTATATAGCCCAGCAAGAGCTCCTCTTGGCTATGCAATAAGCTCTTTGGGTCGATCACTTGATCTCTTTTCTAGCCATCGTTGCTCGAGAGCTTTGATCTGGAAGTATTGCTCGAGACCGGCATGAGCTTCGTTCTCAAAAAAGTCAAACTTGCAAGTTCTTAGCCTCCCACGTTTTAAATGGTTTATGCTCGGGGGTGGAGGAGGGCTCCGTGATTTCGAGTGGCAGAGGCTCTTGAGGCTTGTTGGTGGCTCCAGGGATTTGGAAAGAGCGAGAGAGCTCCATGGCGCCATTCTCGCCTCTCGCAGCGAGCATGATGACAGCAGCCGGGGCACTTTTCTCTCGAATCTGGTGCTCCAAATGTATGGCAAGTGTGGAAGTGTGGAAGACGCGAAGGTGGTGTTCGAGAACACGGCCGCGCGGAACAGCTTCTCGTGGACAATGCTCGTTACTGCATATGCCCAGAATGGGTATGCGTGGGATGCGTATAGATTGCTGGAATTGATGCCGGAGAGAAATGTTTTGAGCTCCACTGCTGTGTTGAAAGCTTTCTCTGGACGCGGGCTTTGGCTTGAAAGCAAGGCCCTCTTTGATCATATGCCCGAAAGGAACGAAATCGCCTGGACTGTCATGGTGGAGGCAAATGCCCAAATGGGGCATTTTCTGGAAGCGAAGAAAGCGTTTGATTTCATGCCACTCCATTGCGTTGTGTCTGCGACAACAATGGTAGCTGCTTTTAGCAAGCACGGTAATGTACCTTCTTGCAAAATGGTTTTCGATGTAATGCGCGAGAGAAACTGCCTGAGCTGGATCACTCTCTCGGATGCATTTGCCGAGAACGGGTATTTTGAGGAATCTCTTTCGGTATTCACAAGCATGCCAGTGTGGGACAAAGTGTCATCAACTGCAATGCTCAAGTCGTGTGTTAAGCACTCTGAGCACGATCTGGCGAAGATGATCTTCGAAACCATGCTCTACAAGGATCACGTTGCGTGGACCACGATGATCATAGCAAATGCCCAAGCGGGGCAAATGCTTGCCGCGAAACACGCTTTCGATTCCATGGAGAAGCGTGATCTTGTCTCGTGGACAGCAATGGTGGCGGCGTTTTGCTCCAACGAAGACATCTCCACCGCGAAAAATCACTTTGATCGAATGCCCAAACACAGTGTCGTTGCGTGGAACGAGCTTGTCAAAGCGACAATCACCGCAGGCATGATCGAGGAGGGGCGGGCGCTCTTCCACCGGATCCCACAGCCGGATTCCTTCTCCTGGACCTCTGCCATCGCCTCGCTCGCGCAGCGCCGCCACTTTGCCGCCGCGGAGGAGCTCTTCGCCGCCATGCCCGAGCAGCTTAAGGATACTGTCGCCCACACGGCGATGCTTCGAGCGCTGCTCTCTTCCGACGCGATCGATCGAGCAAAGGCCGTGTTTGATGCCATGGAGAGGAGAGATGGGGTGGCCTGGGCGACGATGCTCCAGGGATTCGCGCAGAGAGGGGGTGGTAGATTTCTGGAAGATGCCCAGAGAGTGTTCTTGGCGATGCCTTGCAGGAATTCTTTCTCCTACACGACGATGGTGGCGGGGTTTTGCGAGGCCGACCGGATCGAGCAAGCGCAGAGCCTCTTCTGGGCGATGCCGGAGAGGGACGTGGTGGCCTGGACGGTGCTCCTGGCGGCGGTTGGGCAGGCGGATCATCTGCCTCTCTCGCGGGCGATGGAGCTCTTCGATTCCATGCCGGAGAGGAACGTCCTCTCGTGGAATGCTCTGCTGGGCGCTTGCTCGCGCGGCGAGAGGGACCTCGATTGCGCCAGGAGCGTCTTCCTCGCGATGCCGCAACGCGATCGGGGCTCGTGGGTCGCGATGATCGCTGCCGTCGCGCAGCTCGGCGATCTCGAGGAGGCGCGCTCGATCTTCGACGAGGCTCCGGAGCAGGCGTCGGGGGCCTGGGCGGCGATTGTCCAGGGCTACGCGAATCGGGGGCAGCTGAAAGAGGCGAGGAGGATCTTCGAGCAAAGCGCTGCTAGCGATCGATCGCCCATAGCCTGGAACGCCTTGATCGCGGCCTACGCAGAGAATGGCAACCTTGGCGAGGCGAGGGCCCTCTTCGACGAGATGCCGTCGGATTCCCGCGACGCGGCCACGTGGACGGCCATGATCGGCGGGTACGCCCAGCGCGGGAATCTTGAAATGGCGGAAGAGCTCTTGGAGAATATACCGCCGGGGTTTGAAACAATTGGCGCCAAGAACGCAGTGCTCGCCGGGCACGCCCAGATCGGCGCGATGGAGCGAGCTCTGGAAATCTTCCAATCCATGGAAGAGAAGGACGCAGCTAGCTACACGGCAATGGTGGCTGGATTCGCCCGCGCGTCCAATCTCGTCCCCGCGCGCGAGCTCTTCGATCAAACACCCCACAAAGACATCGTCGCCTGGAACACGATCCTCGCAGCTTTTGCCCAGGCTGGGCATCTCTCGCAAGCGCTGGAGATCTTCGACAACATCCCGCGTCCCAATCTCACGTCTTGGAACGCGATCATCGCCGGTTTCGCTCACTCTCACCGCGGCCAATCTGCGCTCCAGCACTTCCACTCAATGCTTCTCCACGGGATCAAAGCCGACGCCACCACCTTCTCGGGAGTTCTTCGCGCTTGCAGCCACACTGGCTTGCTCGAGGAGGCCTCGAGCTACTTCGTGCTACTGGCGAGAGATCTGGGGGTGAGGCCCGGCCGCGAGCAGTACCAGTGGATGGTTGATATCGTGTCGAGGTTGGGCCAGCTCGAGCTCGCGGAGGAGCTCATCAAAGCCATGCCTTTCTTTCCAAACGACGTTGCGTGGGGGTCGCTTCTGACTGCCTGTGGAACCCAGGGGGATTTGGAGCGAGCCAAGAGGATTTCCAGCCACGCTGTGGCTGCCGCCGCGAAGAACTCTGGGAGGTATGTCGCCTTTGCAAACGTTGTTGCCGACCAGAGCTGCTACGCGAATGGAGGTGACTAGAAGCAAAATCCATTTTCTCGTTCGATCTTCGCAGAGACTGGCAAAACGCTTCCATTGTTCTTTAGGCGGTCATTTGGATGATCAGACTCTTGTCTTGGAACTTCGCTCCCTTAACTTTGCCGTGCATTTGCGGCGGGAGCTTGATCACTCTCTTCTGATCTCCGGCATCCAGCAGCAGCTCCGATCGTTTCAGCTGGAAAACAAACCGTTTTCTTTTTCCTTCAGGAAGGAACAGTGGCTTACTTGGGAGAGCTTGACGTCGGCTTTGTCAAATCCTGGCAAGAAACAAGTGACTGTCCCAGACGAGTGATCTAGCGAAACTGGCGGGTTTGAAACCGAGGAGCCATCTCCCCGCAATACTTCGCAAGTTTGTTTGTCGAGGCTCGAAAGAATTTGTTCCCAGCTGGGTGGACTCTCACCGAAGGTTAGTTCTGGAATGGAAGCCACGGCCAGAGAAGAGAAACCTTCTTTCCAAGTTTGAGCTCTGGAGTTCTGGTGGTGGACGACTCCGGCAACGTGAACTCCGGCTTGCACAGCACAACCCCAGTAGCGGAGAGCCGTTTTTTCTGTCAGTTTGCTCCTTGGATCGGTCACAATGTAGCTGGAGAATGTGTTGGGATTGGCAAAGTTCTGCTCAACTCCCTGGAAAACAAAGAAACGAGAAACTTTTAGCTGAAAAGAAATAGAAGATGTGTGTTTTACGTGGAGAACAGTGTTTGCTAGCTCCCAAAGCTCCGAAGTTGATCTTTCAGTCGACAAATCTTCGAGCAGTGAAGCTTCGGCGAGTCTCAAAATGGAAGGAAGTACGACTCTTCCAATATCAGTCTTCTCGGCAATGCTTCTAAACCGATTCATGTACCACCTGCGGATCAAAAGTACGTGAAGGAAAAACTTCCAAAGTTTGGAAAGCTTTTGGCTTACCTTAGTCTTTCAGCACATCCAAACATTCTTAGAGTCTCATCGCTGTTTGGGCCGTCGTAGACGACAACGTCGTACTCGGGCTTGAAAACTTTCGAGCGTTTTGGAAAAAACCGGCGAGCAAAGCCACACAGCTGGTCCAGAACGAACAAAGCCATGATCGAATCCATGCCCGGCAACACGCTCAGCTCCTCACCAGCAACCTTCTCTGTTCCAAACACTTCTCATCATCTCCAGAAAAACAAAAAAACATAACAAGTTCTCGAAAACACAAACAAACCTCCGTCTGAAGAGCTCCTTGGCTGAAACTTATTCGACCGTCCGCTTTCTTGACTTGCTCCAAAGGCTGTGCTAAAATCTGCAAGCGAAAGACCAAAGCCACCTCGACTGAGAAAAACAAAACTATAGAACGCAAACCTTGGTAGTCTCGAGTCGAAGTGCTGTGAGAGATCCATTCTCAAGAATTTTCGTAGGCTGGTGCTTGAGCTGATGACCCAGAAGAAAATCAGCAGTAACATCCTGGGACTGGATCACTAAACACGTCCGAAGGCCAATGCTGGCGTAGAACTAGATAGAGTTCCAAGAGTTACGAGAATTCATGGAAAAGCTATGGTAGTACCTGAGCAGCCAAGACGCTACAAGTTGTCTTGCCAGTTCCTCCTTTCCCAATGAAAGTCACCAGCTTGGGATTTTTCTCCTCCTTTCTCTGCTGCTCTTGTGCCACTGCCCTGCATTGTATCTTTCTCTCTTTTCCTCGCCACACCCAACTCGGGGCCATGGCACAAGCCATGCTATCTTTTCTATCTATCAAATGGACAAAGCTTTAGGTAAGAAGAACTTTATGGCGATGCTTCTTCTCCAGCGGACGAGTCTTTCTCGGTTCCACTTTGCTCCTCCTCCTCGATCATCCATTGGGCGATCCAGATTCAAGGCGTTTGCTGCTGTAAGTTCTTCATTTTCCATCGAGGTGTAGTTTCTTGACGATTTTTTCATTCACTACAGGCAGGAACAAACGTAAAAAAAGCTGATAAGCTGGAGCTCGCGTGTCCTGTTTGCCGCAAATCTTTCAAGAACGATGACCAACCGAAGAACTTTCCAAGATTTGTCTGTGATTGCTGCAAAAAGTCGTACACCAGTACCTCGAGTGGGATCATCGACTTGACAATATCACCGACAACAGTAGCTCCACTCGGAGCTTCGTTTTTCCAGTAAGTTCGTTGCGTTTCTTTTTGTCCAAGTACTAACAGCAGTAGCATAGCGAGTGAAACAGGAACCCGTTGCTGGCATTCGCGTACGACAGAGGCTACCGCGACCTTTTCTGGATCTGGAACTTCCCCGGCTACGATCAAGAGGTTTGTCTCTTCATGCATGGACGTTTATAAGTTTTCTTTGTTCTTTCCTTGGTTTCCTGTTCTCCAGTTTAGAATGGCACAGAAACTCATAGAGCCCGTCGCGCGTGGAGAAACCATCATGGACCTCAGCTGTGCCGGAGGCTGTTTTACTCGACGCTTCCTCGCAAGCAAGAGTTACAAGCGTGTCATCGCGGCCGACTACTCTCAGGAAATGCTCGAGCAATGCCGGGGCTTTCTGGAGAGCGATAGCTTTCTAGACACGAGGTTTGCTATTCATTCCAAAAGTTTCCTTCTTCGTGCTCTTTGGAAAGCGAGTTTCTTAACATTTTTCATGAACAGCGAGTTTGTTCTTTTGAGAGCCGACGCAGGCAGGCTTCCACTTGCAAACTCCAGCGTAGCAGCCGTGCATTCCGGGGCAGCAATCCACTGCTGGCCCGAGCCAATCATAGCGGTACGCACTCCACTTCTCTCATGGTATTGATCTTACATATAAATCATGAAGGTGGCAGAAATATCTCGAGTGCTCCGGCCACAAGGCCTGTTTGTTGGGAGTACTTTCGTGTTTCCAGAACCTCCTCCGCCGATAGATGGAATTATCAATCCTGTTCGCGAGGTGACGAACGACGATATTTTTCTTTCTTTTCGAGCTCTTTCTTCATTTTTTTATTTTTTATTTTGCTTTTTCTTTGTTACTCGTCCGTGGCTTATGGGTGGGATGATACTTCTTTGCAGGCAATCATGCAGCTCCAGGTCCCCTTTAAAGCCTGGACACAAAAGGAGTTGCAGCAACTTGTAGAGGCCAGTGGCTTAATTGATTGGAAGAGCCAGACAAGCGGCCGATACATTCTCTTCTCTGCAACGAAACCAGCCTAAGGTAAATCCAAAACATCTCTTTCTCACTCGCTTGACGCTGTTTCCGGTCGTGTGTGTGAATTCACAGGATTTTCTTCTTTCGTAATCTAGGCTTTTCTTGTTCTTTGTTTCTGTCGAGTTCCTCCGTTGTGAATTTTGCTCGATCTCTCAGAAGGAATGGCACTCGTCCTCCTTAGGAGAAGGATAATAATCAGGCGAGTGTATGGTTTCAAGCAACAAGAACTTTGGTCCTCTAATCATCATTTCGGCTTACATCGTCACACGAGGTTCATAACTACAGGTGCTCGAGAGATGTACCAAGAACAGGAGAATGAACAAGAAGACGATGCGAGGACAACTTTAAAGAGCCTGGCGTGTCCTATATGCTTGCAGCCACTCTGGACATCCAGCAATGAAAGTGTGAGCGTTGAGTACGTGTTCTTCGTCTCTAAATCTCTTGTATCTTTGACGAGAAATCTTCCTTCCAGGAACGCTGCAAGCACTTCCTTCCGGTGTAATGGCTGCCGGAGGAGCTACCACTCCAGCTCCCGCGGGATCATAAACTTGACGATTCCGGGAGCTTGCGGTGTTCCACTCTCAGCGTCGGTGTTTGAGTAAGAGAAGCTAAACCCATCCCGCTCATATCTCTCGTCTCGTGTCTTCTTCTTTTCTCAAGGAATCCGATCGTAGCACGCTTTTACGACAAGAGCTACCGTGACCAGGTCTTTCAGCTCGTTGGATTCCCAGGCTTTGACGAGGAGGTAGAAAGATTACTTCGGGAGAAACGAGATCTGACCTCTTGGTTTTTGCAGTTTACTATGGCACAGGAGATCTTGAGACCATGTTTCGGGAAAGCCATCATGGACTTGAGCTGTGCCGGGGGCACTTTGACGCGAAAGTTCGCAGCCAGCAACGCGTACAAGCTCGTGATTGCGTCGGACTACTCAGAAGCCATGCTCAACGAGTCCTTCCACCTCCTCGCAGGCGATCCAGACATCAACGTCAGGTACTCTTTAAACTCCCTGGCCGTGAAAGCGAGACCGCCATTTGGACTCACGCTCGCCTTTCTCTTTCGAACTTTGATAGCAAAGTCGTGCTCGTCAAGGCCGACGCTGGAAGGCTGCCTTTCACATCCTCCAGCTTAGCGGCTGTTCACACCAGTGCGGCAATTCATTGCTGGCCTCAGCCTCTCCATGCCGTAAGTAGCGATCTAAGTGAGAAAGGAAAAGCTCTCCTTTATTTTCAAGTTCTACTACTTAGTTCTACTCAATGCAGGTGGCCGAGATCGCGAGGCTGCTCCAACCGGGAGGGATCTTCGTAGCGAGCACCTTTCTATTCCCTCTGCCGCCTCCACCGATCGACAAGCTGCTGGAGCCTTTAAGACAGGTTCTTTCGAGTGGTTTCTTTCAAGTTTTTGATCGCAGCAAGCAGGCACTGGGGAGAATGCAATGCCCTCTACGCCTGTGGACGGAGCTGGATTTGCGAGAGATCGCCACAGCCAATGGGCTCATCAACTGGAAGAGCACGCGCCAAGGAGCCTTCGTCTTGTTCTCGGCAACAAAGCCGCTGTAAAAGACATTGGAAACCATAGAATATCCTCGCGCTTTTTAGGGTTCCTCGATTTTTAGGGTTCTTATTAAAGAAGGGGGAAATGCCCAACGGGATTTCGCTGATCGCTGCCAGTCCCGCCGGGGCTGCCACGGCGTCCACTTCCGCGCTGGCCTCCTCTGCGGATCGCGCCAACTCGCGGCTACGGAAGCCATCGCCAGCCCAGGTACTGTCGGATGATTATGATTTCTGCGGTCCCACGGCGGAGGAAGTGGAGGCAGCGTCCAAGGAGCTCGGGAATGTGTTTGCTGGCACGTAAGGATTTCGCAAACTCTTTTTGCGCTTTGCCTTTTACCTTTTGGATAATCTCTTTCGAGCTTACGGACTTTTTCTTGGGTTGATCCAGGAATCCCCATGCTGCGAGCGCTCCAAAAGAAGTCGTGGTCAGCGAAATTGTCCTGAGAGACAACGCTAAAGGATCTTCCTCTTCCAAAGAGGTAGTTTTCAGTGCTGAGAGTGAAAGCCACGCAGAGCAGCAGCGATCAGGAGCTACGGTTGCGCAGTGCGTGGATTTATTTCAACGTAATTCGGATGTACAGGTATCCACCTCTCGCTCATTCTTTCCACTTTCCCATGATTTAATCTTCTTTCTTTTGTGATCCAGGCAGCAGTGATGTCTCTGAGCCGGGACCCCGCGCTGTGGAACGCTTTCGTACGAAACGAGAGAGTCCAAGAGCTGTTACGGGGCAATAGGGAGCGTTTCCTAGCTTTCGCTGGTAAGATTTCCTCTCAGCTTTTGCACTGGGAAGAAGAACTAAGGTTTTCATCTTTGTATTACTTATAGGCGCGGGGCGATCGCTCGAGTTCCTCCATCACCACGAGCAACAGACTAATCCTTTCCTGGTCGCGTTCCACTGGCTCAGGAAGACGCTCTACGATTTGCTAGACTCCTTGGTGGACGTTGTCCACGAGGTGTTTGCATTCGCGGACAGGAAACTCTTTGGTGGTCGCGAGAGTGAGCCTTTGGACAGGAGTCTCAAAGCTTGCATGGTTCTCACGATTCTTCTTTTCTCGCTCGTACTCCTCAACCGGCGGAAGGGATCATGACAAACAGGAACAAAGAAGAAGAAAGTGGAGATTTTCTCTGAAGTTGCATCTTGGTGGGCGTGATGAGATTCTGATATCCTGGTGTTCCAATCATATCTACAACTGGATTGGCTATGTGGATCGATTCTTCCACCCAGCGAAGTTTCTCTGGAAACAACTGGATGATCAATCAGAGCTATTGTCCTTCCCGTTGTGTTGTCCAAAAGAAACTCTATGGAATGGCGTGGAGAAAAAAAACTCCGGCTTGGATGGATCCTAACCGTCAAAACTTTAACCCTTTTTTTTCTCAGGAATTAATCACGCCAATGGCCATGCATGCATCATGGCCGACAATATCAGACGGCCATGATGATGTACCCGGCTGACGGTTGTGATCGAATCGGATCCCCTGCGTATCGTCGGCGCACGTCGGCCTGTCGGGGCTGTAGCCGACATGTGCTGCCCGCGTCAATGATTGCGCTGCCCCCCTGCTACCTGCTGCCCGCCGTGGGATACGCCACGCTACGCTGTACGCCGCGGCGCCAAAATACTTTCCTTTGAGTTTAGAGAATGTGGCAATGGGAATGGAACTCGAGATTGTCTCCTCTTTTGTTTTTTTTTTTCTTGCTTTCATCACTGTTGGTCGTGTGAGCATTTTGAAAAGCACTGGACAGTCGCTATAGATTTTTTCTCGTTCACACAGAGCACGATGCTTTTCCTCGATGACTTTGCCATCCCGCAAAACACTTTGATCTGACAGTAAGCAAAGACAAAGTGGTAGTGAGCACCACAAACACTTTCCCAAGCATCCCGGAAAGCCCCTCCCAGAGTCAATCAATCAATTGAGTTCTTATTAAACACCTTATACTTTCGTGTCACTCGATTCGAGTCAAAGAGCAGTGCCGAGCACCAAGCGCTTCCTCGCTGATTGATTGACAAATCTCTCGATCGATCACTTGGTGTTTATAAAACAAGCTTAGTTTGCTACACGTGGGACGCGGATCGACCCCAATTTGCTATCATGGATCGCCGGATTCCACCGCGCAATAACAAGATTCCTTTTTTTCGCGCAAACAAAATGCAAAACAAGGTTGACCGCAACGTCAACCTCATGCACGTGTGCGATAGCAGCGGATATTCCCGCCACCATGTTTTTAAACGCAAAATTCTCACGGGATATCCGCTCCTAGACGGGGGAGAATGATTGGCGATGGCCCCATTCTTGACCCGGCCATAGCTAAAACACGTGGAATCGTTAAGTTTAGCAATGTGTTTGACTTTATCGGGAGGGTCCGCCGCCAGTTGGCCACCACCGCCACCTTTTCCCATCAATCAATTATAATGGAACAGTGGCTCAAGGGCGGTGGTGGTGGCGCTGTGGTGGTGATCTGGTGGTGGCGCTCTTGAAAGGACAAACGTATTCCTATTGTTATCGCTACTATTACCATGCCTTTTACGGTGTGGATAATTGTGGACAACGACAATGTAGAAATTATTGGACGTCCCAACAAACCTCAATCAAGTCCGCCACGTCAGCAAGGATGGATGGACTTGATGATGCCTAAGGTAGTGGTGGTGATGGATCCATGCAGGGAAGGTATTGTCCCTATCTTTTTTATCACTGCTTTTGCCTCACTCCCTTTGGCTCCAAGCAGCAAAAGATTTAGATAGAGGGCTTTGTAATTCCTTGATTTTCTCCTTCTTACTCGGCCAAGCATTGTCCAAGGTCCCCTATCATCATGAGTGAGATGCTGCAACAATCATTAAACTCATAGGTCAACTTCACTCCATGATATGTTTCTCTATTCCCTTCTATTCGCAAACACTTCAGATTTTCACACTTGTATATATATAGGTGAAGCCCAGAGAAGTTTCCAAGTTTGTTTTTTATTTTGCCCTGACTCCAGGATCAAAAGGAGAGGGGGGAGATGTGAGACTAGTTTGCCCCACACACCAAAACTGTGGCTTGAAATGTGGAGAAGGTTAGGTGCTGGCAAGTGTGGCATCATATTTGTCACCTCACATAAAAGGTGACAAGGGGACCCTTCATAGTTCCTTTAGTGCACCAATCATCCTTACTTGAGAGAGGCCAAATGCATTGCAACTTGCCTGGTGGAAAATCCAGGAAATGTTTCATTTTTCTAATTTACAGAAGCATTATTTATTATAAACCCACCAACGAGCGAGAGCCATGGTTTTCTACCAATCACGACTTTTGTGGAGTCCCTTGGACGTCATACTGGGTTCATGCTCATGCAAGCAAGGGGCAGTGCTTTTACTGGTAAGATTATCCTGTCCTATGATAGATTATAAGCATGGAGTCTCTTTCCTAGGTTGGTTAGATTGATGAGAATTTCGCCAATTAATAGTGTGCCTAATTATCAATCTCCAGGGGATCTAATCAACCAACCGACACTCAGGACTTTGATATATGAATTGAAAGATTAATACGAAGTTAACTCCTCACACGTCAAGAAAAAAAAAGAAAAACGTGGGGCCCAGCAAGAATTTGATCACTGATAAGATTTTAAAGGCTGGATTGGATTGATGCTCTCCGCGTTTAGCGATTGTTGTTGGATGTTGTTGTTGTTGATGGTGGTGGTGGTGTGATCTCAAAGGAACAATCTGGATGTAAGATAATTATATATCAAAATTCTTAACCAGTTTGGAAATATTCGACTCCACCATCATCACGAATAATCACCAACATTTTCCTTCCTTTATTTTCTTTTTCTTTTGGGTCCGCACGTACACCGGACGCGCTCGTATGACGGTCCCCACACGCGCGACAAGACTTTTTATGAATCCCGCCCGTCACGGCGACGTCCTGGTGACGGGCTAGCTATGGTGGTGGTGGTCATCACTACTCATCCATGTATGCCTATGTATATTAGCAAAGCCACGGGGGAGAGAGAGGGTGAGAGAGAGAGAGAGAGAGAGGAGGGCTTTCATTCCTTTCTCTTATACGCAGCACGCTCTTCCCGCTCTTGATCAGTCCCTCTTCTAGACAGATTTTGGTGCTCGAATCTTTCATCTAGATTTGAGCGATCGCGTCGGGCGTGTCTTAGCCCCGATTTGATCCATAGCTTGGAGCGTGTGGAGCAATGAAGCCGGATCATCCAAGCTTGGGATTGAGCATAGATCTGAGCATAAGCGTCCAATCACAGCAGCAGCAAAATGGCTACTTCCCCATGAGGTCAGCGCCCGATGTGGAGGACGCGGAGGGGGAGCGGCGAGGATCCACCATGGATCTCCTCCCCCGCCCCGTGGCCAACAAGCAAAACGCCGGCCTCTTGTGGCAATCCCTCTTCACCAAGTCGAGAAGCGACTCCATCGATTCAAATGGTATACTCATCTTGGGTCTCTAGATGGCTCTCTTGCTCTTACAAGTTCTTGACTTTCCTGGTCTTTGTGATTGATGGCTTTGAACAAACTCTTCGATCATGATACCAAGTTTCTTTGGAACTGTGCTTGCAGGGACAGAGGCTCCTCTTAATTGCAAAGGCCTGGACATGAACCGGGTGCCTTGCTCGGGCGAGAACGAGGATCAAGGTGGTGGTGGTGGTGGTGTGTCTACGTCGTTTCAACTCATGGCGGCCGCGGAGCCGGCCTCGTCGTCGGCGGCGGCGAGGGTGGCGAACCATCAGCAAACCAAGCGGGAGAGGGAGGCGGACGAGGCGGAGCAAATGACTTCTTCCCGCGCCGCCAGCGACGAGGAGGAAGGGGGAACCCGCAAGAAGTTGAGGCTGTCCAAGGAGCAATCAGCGCTGCTCGAGGATAGCTTCCGCGAGCACAGCACTCTCAATCCGGTAAGAGTCTGCATCTTTTCGATCGGGATCACGAAAACTGATGATATCTCTTGTTTTGCTTCCAGAAACAAAAGAACGCACTGGCGAAGCAGCTCAACCTCCGGCCCAGACAAGTGGAAGTTTGGTTCCAAAACCGGAGAGCAAGGTAGGCTTTTGGTTTCTTCTTGATCGCTAGATCTTCGTCTTACATTCGTTTTCACTCGGACAGGACCAAGCTCAAGCAGACCGAGGTGGATTGCGAGCTTCTCAAGAAGTACTGCGAGGGGCTGAGCGAGGAGAACCGGAGGCTTCAGAAGGAGCTCCAGGAGCTTCGAGCCCTCAAAATCTCTCCACCTTGTGTCATCACTCACGACTTTTACATGCCTCTCCCCGCCACCACGCTCACCATGTGTCCCTCCTGCGAGAGACTGGCGTCGTCCATGGACAACGGCAACAACACCGGCAATACCACAACCAAGGTTCCAAGCAAGCCATTGTCAACGAACTTCCAAAGCACAGCAGCCACCACCATGGCCAGATTTGCACAGTCCAGGCCTACACCTTCTCTCTTGCAACCCGTGTGAAACTTCTGACACAACTTTTGGTGTTCAAGAAAAAGGAGAGTCTAGAGCTAGAGTCTACAGCCTCAAGCTTGTGTCTATGTTAGTGTACAGGGATCCAGGAAGAGAGAATTTTTAGAGGAAGAAGGTGCCAGGGAAGATCATATCAATGGTCATCTTGGCTGGTTGGAGGAGATGAACAGTGAAGAGCAAGCCCTTTGGCTTTTCTGTACATTTTTCTTGGCATGAGTCTCCACCTGGGATATTGTGTTATAGTTGCAATTTTGACTAGGCATGGCAACTTCTGCAACTGCAAATGCTAATCTGGAGTGGGAGTGTGAATGAGCTAAAAGGAAAAACAGTTGTGAAGCCCTGCATACACACACACCCCATGCTGGAAGTGTCCTTCGGTTCTTTTTTTTCTGAGTCTTCATTGTATACAGGTGAGATATGTTGTGTGTGTAGACAAACAAGGCCAGCAACCATAATGGCTCATGTCTTGCAAGCAAGATTAGAGCAAAGCAAAGCAAGCAGACAGCAGGATCTCAATCAACCCTTTTCTTTTTTAATTTCTCCAATTTTTTTCTATTCTTGAAAGAATGTATGGGTGCCATTATTGATTGAGTATTTTTGTGTTCAGAGCTACTTGCTGCTGTTGCTGTTGTTCCTGTTTTGTGCATCCTTTCTTTTTGTGGACATGGTTTTTAAACAAGGAGTGATTGGAATAGAAGTGAGTGAGATGTTGAAAGTGATGGCGGCAAGGGGAGCCCTTCCAGCCACACAAGCTGGACTGAGAAAGAGGCAAGAGGCAAGGTCACTGTTCCACCTCTCAAGAGGTGGATCTTCACTGGAGCATTGCATGATTACATAAAACTATGTATTCTAAAGAACCGTATGTATACTTTTAAAACATCAAAACCAACTAGCCAGCCACCTTCTGAATTCTGAAATCTGCTTTTTGCATTCTGCACCTGCACCTGCTGTCTGAAGCAATCTCTCCTCCCCCTGACACATGCACTAGATTGCCCTCATAATTGGCAAAGCATGCATCATGGAGGTGTGGCTACTAGTGTCCTTGCCTGGCCACAGTGCTCACTGGTCACCAGCACCAACAGCAAACATGCATTATTGCACTGCTGCTACCCTTGCTACAGTAGTGATGGGCTCCTCTGGGCGAGTGAGCAGCGTCCGCATCAAAACAGTGCTGCTCGCTTGCTTTTTGCCTGTGGGATTGGCTGCTGGAATTCCTGGGGGAATCTCCCTCACCTTTTTTCCTCTTTCAGCTTGGCTTGACTGGTTGGCTGCTCTTAAATCACTCCAGCACAGCCAGTAGTAGCAGCCCCAGCCTTTGATTGCAATCTGGACTGAATTGGCAAGTGTGCAGGGCGGTGCCAATGTAACCACCGGGATGAGATGTTCTTCTTCTTTCCCCTTGGGCCTGAAAGAGATGTGATGAGATGAAAGGCCTACCAAAATGACAAAAGGATCACTTACTTGGACCCGACGCTCCATCAGCCGGGCCTTGTACCGCAGGGAGTTAAGTGTGAGCATCGTACTGCTCCCCTCCAGCCGCCCCCCTCAGTTACACACGGTGCCTCGTGCAGATTGGATATGATTTCTCGTGGGGCCTCAGCTTTTGGACGGCTCCTCCCTGCACAGATACGACGTGCATGCACCTCCGCTCGCTCGTTAGCAACACCCAGGGCCCAGTGTGTTCCCGCTTCGCGTTCGTCAACTGGCTCGAAAAAAGATCTCTCACAAATCATGGCTGCTATTGCGGGACAATGTACGACTGCCAATGGGTAAGCTCGAACCACTGCACTGAGTGCTCGCTTTGAAAGAACTAGATGCGAAGTGTTACCTCGTGTTTTACTTTTTAGCTGCGTCCGCCGAGGTTGCTTTAGCCTTCCGGCCCTCCAGTACTCCACTATCGACGAGCGAGTTAATTTCGGATTTTGCAACTCGCCGCACGGCTGGATCTTCGCTGTCTCTAAAGGCCGCTACCACTTTTGCACTGCCAGAGAGAATCAAACAGCGTCGATCAGGTCAAACTCAAAATTCAAAATCGATTCCAACCAAAAGGTCCAATCCAAATACCTGTGACCTCGCGCCCATGTTGTGCACCTCCCTTGCAGTGCGAGGCTCCACAGCATTTGCGCAAAAGACTCCGAGCTCCCATCCAACTTATGACAGCTGCTATCCAGAACCAGCCTCCGGATCGTGCGGCTAGCATGGTAGTGCTCCAGCACGTGTTCCTCTTCTGTTTTCTTGTCTTTTGGTAATGCAGCTAGGTCCGCTATTGCTTTATGCACTGATGATATTCCTTCCGGCGTAGCTTTCAACATTATTCCGTCAACGCCACCGCGTGCTACCTGCACCAAGCGCATATACTCAAAAGAAATCGATGACTTCAAAAGCTTACCTCGTAGATGACGTCCTTCCCGAGAGGCGATCGTAACAGCTCCCCTGCGTTGGTCGCACATGCTTCCACTAGCTTCTACACAAGCCGAAAGCCAAGAGCAAACTGAGATACAGTGCATGCCCTCAGCTCTAAAAGAGAAAGTACCTGCGCAAATCCACTTTTCGAAAGCAGCTCGGTTCTTCGTAAGAATGGATCCTTTTTGCTAATGCGCGCACTCTCCGTATTGTCGTCACCATCGTTTACGTCCCCGCATTCATCATCTCCTTTTTCGCTAGTATCGACTGTCGTTTTCGAACTTGAAACTGCACATGCAACCACCTCATCATACAACGCCATCAAAATGAGTTAAGTGGACTTACTAAACTCGACTGGAGACTTGAGTGTCTTCAGCAGCTCCGCAGGAAAATATCTCGGTATATTTGGTGCGAGAAGATGTAGAATTAATCGCTGGCCATACTTTTGCGAACGACAAATATCCCACAAGAAATTTTAAGATGAAGCCTACCTTGTTCACACTTAACTCCCTGATTTCTGTTGCCAATTCTGACATGATAACCTGCACCCACAGAAATTCAAGGTGTGAAAAAACTTCACAACTTGCATACTTGCCTTGGTCACAAGTTCAGTATCGTCAACAACGTCAATTACACTCAGAAGGACCTGCCGATGGAGCCTGTCAAGGACGTACGGCGGATAATAACGAGAAAAACTTACAGCATAACCATGATCGTCGCGAGCAACCTTTAAGACTTGACCCTTCAACGCTTTAATAATCTTCTTCCTTTGCTGTGCACGTGATTTACCAGTCAACAGATTATACAAAGAAAAAGGAACCAAGCTACACGTACTTTTGCAGATCCATGGCGCACACACAGAACACCAAGTTTCGCACCATCTGCTGTGTGGAGCATACGCACGAGAAGAGGTCCCGAAAGTTGGTCAACAATATTACTAACCATACTCTGAACAAAATCGTCATAAGCATGAACAAAAAAGAAGAAAGTTGTTACCATTGGAGCTATACTCAAATATTCGACAAGTACTCGGTGAATAATTGAGTGGTCGACTATTCCTTTCTCTAGTATCGGTTGAATACTTAGTGTCATGTGTTCCAGAACTGTTTTACGTTTGGCAGCCGGTTCATCGGAAAGCATCTCCTTGATCCTGCATATTGAAAGTTTATAGTTCCACACTATGAAAATAGTTCTCTTACCTTCCTTTTGTAATGTTTCTAAACAAGCGGAACTCGGGAGAAAAAAATTCCGATACAAGCTCTTGTTTTTGAGAACCACTGGCAGCGTGATAGGCATGCTCGACAACTACAAAGTCCCACTCTATTATTTCATAGAGTATGTTCCTGAAGCACGTACCAGCTGAGCCAGTCGGATGCCTAAGAAGACGCACAACATTCCCATGCAGAATTGAAAGAAGTTGTTGAAGCTGATCCTTTTTAGCTGCAAATCGACATAGTTGGAAGAAAACACCGTTGATGAAAGTACTCACCATTGTCAATCATCCTCAGTGCAAGGTGACAAGCGTAAGTGTTCAAACACAAATCTAGGAAGCTGGGCCTGAGCTCTTGGAAAACCTCGTTTTTTTCTGCCTCTTGAGAATGTTTGACACAAGACTGCAAAACGCAATCACACAATCACCAGGTACAGAAAATTTTCAAACAATCTACTCACTTGCAAAACACGTGAGCAACTATGAGACATGGCCATTTGCACCATTTTCCCTTTCATCTTCGCCAATGTTTCTGAAACAATCCTGACAAAACAGAGATAATTTTTTCAGCACACTCCAAGCTACCTCGAAACTTTATTATACCTTGATCGATCTTCGGCCTTTATGTTTCTCTGCCTCATTTTCTCCCATAGAGAGACAACGTCCTGAATGCACGCCCAACATTTAATTCGTTTCGCATTGTTTACTACAATGGATCACCTTTTCAATGTCGAAATTTGGTTTTCGCTTCCTTTTCCGGGACTCCAGAAGCTCCTATCAAGATAAGATAAATACATTGAAACATGTATAGAAGGAAGAAAACCTTCTTAGCTTTGCGATCCACAGGTTTCTTCTTGTCGAATTTCTTGTGAATGTCCGAAGGCTTTGCAGCGTCTTCGTTTACCCCCTCGTCTTTCTTAAACGATAGTTTTCGCTTCTTTCTGGAAAAAAGAACTCTTCTAATGAAACAGAACGAAGTTAGCAGCGTACTCACTCTTGCGGTGTTCGTGATTGATCCCCTCCACCGCTACGCTTCTTCTGAAAATGCCCTGATTTTGCAATCGCGACCTTGCTGCCCTTGTTCTTCTCGCCAAATCCCTTGCTCTTCCCTGAATCGCCGCGCTTCTTCTTGCCAGCCGCATTTCTCGGCTTCAATGCCGCAGAAGAAGAAGAAGCGCCATCCTTCTTCTTGTGCGCTGGCTTCGCCATGGCGGCAATCTAAACCTCGCTAGAACCCTAACCCTAACTTTCTGTTGGGGGCAGTTTGGATGTATGAAGAAGAATGCTTGGCAGATCGCTCTGTGTGCTCTGGCGTCGCCTCCAATCCTCCCTCTTTCTTCATGAATCAGGGACGGAATCTCTTCGTTCGGGCCTCCAAAGCCGATCAAGAGAAGGCAGTTCCGTCAGCCGGGAGGACTGGATCCGGCACAGGAGCAGCCGCCGTGACATCCGCCACATCCTCGCGATCGCCTCGTCGCGAGTAATCCGGTCCCTAGGGCCAGCGATCCTCGGCAATCTCGGCCTACAACCAGGCGATGATCTCCGAAATATTTTCCTATTCCTCGATCCACATCTCGCCGATTCCATTCCAGCTCACGGCGCCCGCGCTGGCGCTGCTCCTCGTCTTCCGCACGAATTCTTCGGGCAGGAAAGTGTTTGGATCGAACGTGAACAGGTGTGTGCTTCATCATTGATCGCGGCGATCGGGCCAGGCGAACAGCGCTGCTATTGTAAGAGGGCTTTGGGGTCAACGTTTGGTCAACGTAATGGTCAATGGTGGTCAATGCCACGTTTCTATTTTGCTTGAAGGCCCACATCGACACTGACAAGGCTCTCCAGGAGGAGCTCAAGGGCGTGCTCGATCGGGAAGATCCAGCGCTTGTTTTAGCTGCGACGCATCGACCAATTCTTGTGCTGCTGAGGATCGCCGAGACGATTGGAGCGTGCCAGGGGATGAGCGCTCACAACAAGGCGATCATGGTAAGCAAGTTCTTTCTTTTTTATGATCAATGGCTTCATACTCCCTGGTTGCAGGATCTCAATACCACGCAGCTCCACGACAATCTTGGCGCCTGCGAACGCATTCTACGAACTCCAATTCCGCCATCTTACTCGCACCTCACTTCCAGGATGCTCATCATTTGGCACCTCACGCTGGCGCTGGCGCTGTGGGATTTCTGCCACTGGCTCACCATTCCGGCCACGGGATTTAGCGCCACTGCACTCTTTTGCATCGACGAGGTATGGATTTCTACGCTCTTAACGGTAGGAGTGATAATCGAAGAGCCTTTCTCAATCCTTCCTCTGGGAAGCATTTGCGAGCTGGTCCAGAAAAATGTGGCTGAAATGATTGAAGCTCACGAAGGTATACTGTGGTTCTTGATTTATTCTTCGTGATGACCTTTCTAAGTGCAGAGTGTGATGCCCGGAACGGGCATAGTGCGTAGTCGAAGTTTTCAGCCTGACATACATAGGTACGCTTTTTTATTTTTCTTCCTTCGCCAAGGGACGCGTCGTTTCAGCTGGCATGATGTGCCTTTTCAACCTCATCTAGAAGGCTGGCAGACTTGACAGAAGAAGGAAGAACAAGAACTTTCATGGAAGATTTGTGGAAGCGTTAACACTTTATATTTCCGTCTCCGCACTGCAGAAGCAGTACTTCTCGATGGGGAACGAAAAGAAGCACACGCATTTTGATTGCCTTCTTTTTGGTATGCTGTTTTACAACTACTACAATCCCTTGGATTCGACTTAACAGGCATGGTTGCTTACAGATCTGGATGATACTTTGTATCCTTTCAGCCTCGGTATCGCAGAAGCATGCAGGCAAAATATCGAAGGTATGGTGCTTTAGTAGGCTCTGCTACGTCTCATTGAGCGTGCCATGATACCAGATTTCGTGTCGAGCGTCAAGCCAAGAATGTTTTCTAGTCTGGTAGATTTTTTACCATACGAGTTCAAAATACTTCATTCTCCTTCCTGACGCTATTGCCTTTATTTTTCGTTCCAGAATACATGGTGGATAAACTTGGCATTGATAAGAGTATTGCAACTGATTTGGGCCAGACTTTGTACAGATGCCATGGAACTACAATGGCTGGACTAAGGGTACTGTATTGTAAGCTTGAAATTTACCTCATGACAGGACTTTTACCAGGCAACAGGCTATAACTTTGATTACGATGACTTTCACAAGTGAGAATCGTTTTTGTTTCCGACATAGTTTTACACGGTGTATTTCATATGCAGTTACGTACACGGCAGGCTACCTTATGATCTTTTGAAGCCCAATCCCGAGTTACGAGAGATGCTTCTGAGCATGCCGCAACGCAAATATGTGAGCTTTTAAAAATCTGGTTATTCGTTTCATGTCCTTCGTTACAGGTCTTCACTAACGCGGACAAGAATCATGCGTCTAAAGCTCTACACCGAATGGGCTTAGAAGACTGTTTTGACACCGTCATATGTTTTGAAACAATCATGGGTCACGAGGGGACGGATATGATAAAGAAAGCAACAGGCAAAGATAAGCGCGTTGGGAGGCAGAGCTTGAAAATGGTCGAAAGCTCGACCAGCGTGGCTGTGGTCTGTAAACCCGAAGCAAACAACACGGTGGCCGCGATTATCTGCAAGCCATCGCCAGAGGCTATGAAACGAGCTGTTGAGATCATCAACGTGGACGCTAAACGAGCTGTAAGTCATTTCATAGCTCACTGCGCCTTCTAACGTCTCTGTGAAACCATGCAGCTATTCTTTGATGATTCCCCGCGAAACATTGCAGCAGGAAAAGCTGTGGGTCTTCATACTGTGCTGGTAAGAAAACTTCTTTCCTTTCATTCTGGCTCGAGATATCTGGCTCTCGACTTATCTCGAGCGTTACCTCAGGTTGGCAATGTCACCAAGTGTGAAGGAGCAGACTACGCCATTGCGAACATCGTTGAAGCAAGGAAAGAGGTTCCAATCATCTGGGACTGACTCGCCCTGCTATGAATTCACAGTCTCGAGACTCACAGGAAAACTGTTACAAACTGCAACAGCGTCCCTGTCACGGTCTTATTTCGTCCAAGGACAAACCATAGGGGTTTTACAGATTTCTGGGATGGCTCATCCAGTCTCCACCATGGACAGGCATAGAACGATCCACCTGGGGGCAGTGATAGACAAACGCAGCTACTCGCTTTCCAGCTTCCGTCACGACTTCCACAACATCACGGTCGAATCCTTGGTGCTCCTCGGAGCTGTCACAGTGGTGGAGCAAGCTAGAGAGATCACTGGGGTCGCTAGCAGACACTACGTATCCTTTGACGGCATTTCCAGGCTCGTCCAGGCTTACCGCAGCTTGCCTGATGGAAGAGGCTCCTCTTCCTCGTGAATTGACACAGAACAATCGACCGCCGAGGAGCCAGGCCGCCTCGCCGCGGCTGCTGCTTCCTAGTCGGAGGCGTTGCGGGCCTCCAGCATCGGGGCGGAGGTTGCCGTAGACGAAAACGTGCTGGACCTCCTCGTCCGCCATAGCTAAAACTTATGGCTATAGACAAAACCACTTTATACGCACAAGACTGTTATTATATTTTTTGAAAGGGAGAAGATGCTTAACATACTTAAGTGTCATGCTAGGCTAGGTGGCAAAATTTGGGAACCTTTGGATATGATTAATGGGAGAATGCAAAAGTTATTATTGCTTATGTAAATAGTAAAATAAATCAAATTTCTGTTTATTTATTTTAGAGTTTATGAAACTTCAACATAACAAAGGTTTTGACTAATTATAATTCTCTAAAATTTTAACGATAAATCTTGAACATATAAATCGCAATTTCTTGTAAAATTAAACATACTATTTTTTAAACCTTGTCCTTAATGATAAATAATAGAAAATAATTTTTTATTATTCATAAATTATTAAACATCACCACAATATAATCTACATTTCTGTATATTAATCCTTATTTTTATCAATTTTATGAAAGTCTACATAAATTCTTATAAAATATTTTTATATCATTTAATTTTTTGCTTCACATTTAACAATGATAACCAAAAATATAGTTGCATTTTTCTATAAATATTATAATATTTTACAATCTTTAACTTTCATCTAAATAAATTCATAACACTATCAAATCCTCATATTCAATAAATGATGTCAAACACATTATACTCAATTACTTCAGTTATAGGTTCACTTATATGGAAATAAAACAAATATTTTAGTCACACTTAAATTAAATAATTTAGTTATTTTATAAATTTAAATTTAAAATTTAAAATATTTAGTTGTATAATCTTAATAAATTATAATAAGTTCCTTTTATTTTACTAAAAATGCTTACACACCATTTTTGTCAATAAAATACCTTCTTTATTTTTATTGCTATTAAATTGTTGAAGGCTTGCAAGAATGATGTCATATTTATATCTATAATTTAAATCAATATTTATAATATAAATAAAATATATACATGTTTATATTTATTTTGTATCATTTAAGTATAGTATTAATGATATTGTTGGATAGTATATCATAACAATATAAAATTTATATTTATATATAATTTAATTTTACTTATTGCAACCTTCATATGAAAATTATATCATACTCTACATATGACAAATGAATTTGATAATGGTCTATACTTGAATTTTAATTTAAATCTCATAGCCATGAAACAGGAGAGGGAGGTGATCATCAAAGACTTGCACCATCTCAAATACTATTTAGTATGGGACTCGTCACAGCTAGCTTGTGTCTCGTTTGGGAGTGTTAACGAGCTTAAGGCTTAAACATTTGAACTATAAATTTTGAGATGGAAAAGTAATTTTTATAAATTTTTCCTCTATAATTTATTTAATGTTTGATTATTGAAAATTTAATGTTAAAATAAATTAAATTAATAAAAAAAAACCTTTTCATTATTTTTAAAGTTCATAAGCTTTAAAATAGAAATTAAGTGATAAGATCCAATAAAATAGTTATGTATGACCCAATAATATTAAATTTATTTATGGATAATTTCATAAATTATGGTAGATCATTTTTATTGCCACTATAAGTGCATAATGTGCATATTAATTAGCTCAAAAATCCTAGCTTATATATAAGAGTGAGTGGTTCAAATTGAAATCAGGAAGGATGGAAAGTAATCAGGGTTCTTTGGTGAATGAGTTGAGATCTAAAGGAACATCAAGAAAAGGCACTAGTGGATCTATAGGTAATGCTACTTATTCATTATCTCTATGCCAAACTTCATAAATTTGTGGTCCAACTTGCCGCAACACTTGATATGGTCTTTTCCATTAAGCAAGGAGCCCCTTAGATAAACTATATACTATAAGATTGGGAAAATGGACTAATATTAATTTGTTCACTTTTTACTTTGCAGATAAATGATGGTGGAGTTGTATCATTGTTATTGTCCCACTTGTATATGGTTCAATAGACTTTACTTGGACAAATGGAAGAATGTTTATTAAATATTAATCCTAAGACATAGCATTGCCAGCTCGTGATAATTGTGAAGGTAAACTTAACTCTGTCATCATTATAAAATCATGATCATATAAGAGTTTATTTAGTGAAGCACCAATGGAACTCTATACCCTTGTGACATACAGATAGTAAAGAGATGATAAATAACTATCCAATCCAAATGTTGAAAGTTCACATACTTCATGATTATCCCTTTGAAGATCTGAACAAACCGTTTCACCAAGCTATCTATTTATGGATGATAAGCATTTATGAAAGTGTAGTATATCCTTAACCAAAACATCAAAATATAAAATGCCTCAGCCATAATTGTAGAACCATTATCTGAAAAAATTCACTTTAAATAAAAATATTAGAACACCACTTGATTAAAGAGGAAATACCTAACAACAATTGTTGATGCATTAGAAATAGCACCAACTTTCACCTAATAAGTCAAATAGTTGGAAGCAATAATGATGTACTTATTGCCTACAATTAACCGTAGAAAAAATCCCATCAAATCAAATGCCACCAACTCAAATAAATAGAAAATTATAATTGACTCTAACCATCCTTCATCAATACAAAGGGGAGTATTACACATATATCAGATAATATCATATTGTATCTTTGGCCAATATAAAGACCTATGCAACTTTTTAATCACATGATAATATCCTATATGCTTACATAGAATAAGAGAATCATGGTAAATATAAAGAGAGCATAGAATAAATATTGAAGGCACCACTAACCATAAATGATCATCAAAATCAATCCCAAAAAAAATAAAAAATGTCATCCTCAAAGTGATATTGAAAATGTAAATGCCAAAATGGCAAGTTATCAATAAGTGAGGTAGAATTCTTAACCTTTTACAAAGCTTTTAGATCTATGGCTTAACCTTTTGAGCTTCACAAACCTTGTCAACAGAAGTTAAATGTTACTCTACACCTTATGAACGTTAAACATCAAGTATAACAACCGTTGATGGTACGAAATCCTTGTCTAGAAAATACACAAATACTAAAATAATAAACTTGTCAAGAATAGAAAAGAAAGCAAAGAATGGAAAAGCACTCGAGAAACGGCATTAACATTAGCCATAAAACTCATTAGGCAATAAACAACTTCAAAATTATACATTTGAAGCCTTAGAGCCCACTAAGTAGTATGACCAACCAAGTTCTTCCTCTTCAATAATAAAATAATTGCAACATGATCACCTTCTAGCAATGTCTAAAAACTATACAAATATGCATAAAATTTCTTGAAACCCCAAACTATTGCTAAACATTTATTCTTTGTTGTAGAGTAGTTCACTTTTGCTAGTTATAATGTATAGCTGATGTACATAATAAGATGATATTGATCAAGAACACTCATACTGTCTTGCATTAATATATCCAAAGTATCCATACGCAAAATGAAAGGTTGAGTGTTATCAAGATATGTCAAAACTAAACAAGTTGTCAACAACTTTTTGAGATTAATAAATGCCTATTCACAATCTTTAGACCAGATGAAAGATAATATTAATGACTTCAACAATGCTCGCAATAGTGTAGTGCAATCCAAAAGATGATCAACAAAACAACTGAATATTGCATCTTGCCCAAGAAGCATTGCATATCATTCACACACTTTGGAATAAGTAACTTTAGAACAACCATAAATTTGTCAAGATCAACTTTCAAACCTTTATGAGAAATACAATACGCAATATAAATCATGTCCTTAAACCCAAATACATAGTTTGACTACTTTAGTTTTAAACTAACTTCCTACAATTGATTCAACACCTTCCAAACATCACAGATGTATTCCTCCCACATCCATGTGAGACACAAATCTTAGAGCCCCAAAGGTGGAGCCAAAAGAGTGCCACATGGTAGTGGCCGAAGCAGAAGCCAAATGAACATAACATGTTTGGACTAAAACTTCGACTTGAAAAGTTGAGAGTGGGAGTGGAATTCCCAATGAAGGGCTCGAGGAATGGGCTCAAAGCGAGCAATAAGTGAGTCTTTAGAAAAAGGGACACAAGAGGACCAACACATGACATATGGAAGTGTTGAAATGGACCCGAGATGGAATCCGAGATGGAGTCCGAGATGGACCCGAGATGGACCTGAGATGGACCGGAGATGGAGTTCGAGATGGAGTCCAAGATGGAGTTTGAGATGGAGACCGAAATGGACCCAAGATGGAGTATGAGATGGACCCGAGATCGAGATCGAGTCCAAGTTCGAGACTGAGGCTGAGTCTAAGTCCGAGTTCAAGTCTAAATTCGAATACTAATACAGACTGTTGGGAGAAAGCCCAAAGCAAACAATGATGGAGGTGTGGAAGCACCAACAATGAGTTATAGGACTTGGCAATTATGAGGCAACTAAGCAAAAAGTTGCAAAATAATTGATGAAACTGGTAGAAGGTAACTACCTAAAACTTCTTATTGGGATAAAGAAGTTAGACATACCCTTATAGGGAATGAATTGCTTATGTTGTGATATAGTAAGTCAATGTCGTAAAGGGAATACTCATTGTCAAAGATGCTATCGATGGGACACCCAAACACTCTAGAACACCCAGAGATGGTATTTGGTGTTGTGAGGGCAATAGATAAGGCCCAAAGGACTAAGTTCTTAACAAATGATGGATAGAAAGTGCTATCCAAACACCCAAGGTTGCAAAGACAAGAAAAGTCCGTTTACCTGAACTGTAGCGCATCTTATCTCTCTCCCCTTAAGCCAATTGGAAAAGGGGCAATTGCTTGATGAGAGAGCCCTTAGTGGCTATTTTATCCCCATTTATCTCCCAAATGACAGTATATCCAAATCTCATCCCATGATCCAAGGATCCACGGTGACAGTATATCCAAATCTCATCCCATGATCACATGCGCTACACTCACCCCCCCTTTAGAGATGTCAATGTCCTCATTGACTATTGACTAACAACCCCTACTGAGCCAAGGGGAACCAGCACCTCCATTTCCGCACTCAATCTACCAATCCTTCCATTGTGTAGACTAGCTATTCCAT